CCCTGTAAATACCAATAAACAATGGTTTCTCATGGATTCCAAGTGGCGCAGGATTTCGTCCACCCACAGTATGGGCCTAAAAAGTCCAAACTGTTTGCTTGCCGCTACAATGGTCCAAACCCAAACAAATCTTCATGATGAGCTCCCGGAGTGAGGCTATCTTTGGGTTCCGCGAGTCACCGAACGCAAGAAAACTCAAGCACAGGACCCAGCGCGGTTCAGAAGGGTACCCTGAAGGCCCTGGGCTTTTGCACCCCTTACCCCCAAACCGAAAAACCAACTCGAGAAATCGGAAAAACAACAAACCCAAAACAATTCTAGGAGAGAAGCTTGGTTCTACCTCAAACTAAAAAGAACTTCGAGAAATCAGGAAAAAACACCCAAAACAAGAAACAAGTTCTAGGAGAGATGCTTGGTTCTACCCACTTTGAAACCTCAAACCAAAAAAACTTCGAGAAATTTAAAAACCAACAGAGGAGAGATGACAGGGTATGCCAGCAATGTCGGGAATGTGGTTGTTCCTCGATTTCTCGAGTTTTTTTCCCCTGACTGCTGGCTCAAAAAAAGCAAAGCTCTAGGAAAGATGACAGGAGGGGTATACCAATAATGTCCTCTGCAAAAATGCTTTTTCCCGATTTCCCGATTTCTCGAGGTTTCGTTTGGCTTTCTTTACATCATGGTAATCCTCATGCACATGTCATGTTAACTAGATCTAGAAGAGGTCTAGAGTTGAGCAATAACATTTGTTGGTCTAACTGCCTTATCTGTAGAAATAAGAATAAATGCTTCAACACTAGCTTTAATAGCCAAATCAAGAGTAGTTTTAGTTCCCAGAGTATTATTTATGATGGTCTTTGATATATTTTCCTCAACTAAAGCCACATGTTTGTAAGCTGCTGCATGAAACACTACATCTAGAAAGTAATCAAATAACACGTTGTAATGATTCTAAATCACAAACAGAGCATAAACTACCTTTTGTACTATAAAGAGAACATTCTTCAGACATTTTACACAAATGAACTTCACTATGATCGAGTAAGATTATCTGGCTAGCTTTACACTTAATTCATCCCCGAACAATTTCAGAGCCAATACTCCCCCCTGCCCCTGCAATAAGGACTCTGTTCTCCTCAATAAAGTATGGAATAGATTCTTTGTCAAGAGTTTTCGAGTCTCTAGAAAGTAACACATCGAGTGAAACAGGCTTAAGCTGTGACAACAACTCTCATCTTAAAGAACATCTTCTAGAGGTGGCATTATCTTTATTCGTTCAACAAATCTTTCTCCAAATCGTTGTACATGGTTTGATAGTTGAGTTAGCTGATTTTGGCAATGCTAAAACTAAAACTGAAGATTATAGTTCTTATATTATTGCGTCTTTGAGAAAACAGGTGTTTACCGTCTATGCTTCTTTTTGTAGATATATCATCATCAACAAAATATATTATCATATACCCTTTTGCATCAAGTTTCTGAGCTATCTTTGTCCCAGCAAGACCTGCACCATGATGATTTTTAATGATACAATAGAGTAAGTGAGAAGCTGTTTTTTCAACACTAGGATATAGTTATTAACCAAAGACAGTTTGAAGAAAAAACACATTTTAATGTACTGTCTAAAGCACCTTGTGTTGTTTCTTGAGGAAAGCTCAGTTGATGCTTTCTTCTTAATTAGGTTTAATCCAAGTTGTTCAATATCTTGATGCAAATTTCCTTTAGATGTATCAATATCACTTGAGGTGTTAGTATTTGGAAATCTTTGTTGATCATATCTTTGCAAAGAAAACCAAGTATATGAGAATGTGCTGATTAATTCTATTATATCGTTATGATTAATTGTCTTTTGGGCGGTATTCTTTAATTAATTGAGATATAACTTCAATCATAAGATTAGGGTCAGTTTCAATTTTGATTGATTAATGGTATAACCCTGTGTTATACGTTGCTCTAATGTTTGTGTTGTCCATGTTCTGAACTTTATACCTAAAACAAACTTTTACCCTACAGATACGATCACATCAAGGCAACACTCATTAACATGTTTGGAGTTGTTGAGGTACGGATTGGTGTTGAGTCAGTTGGTTTGCCTTGAAGTAACCTGTTTGCACGTCTGCAAAAACAACCATCAGCGTACCCCTCTCTTATCAAAATGGTGGACCCCCCTGTGGTTGGTATACAAAAAGGTGCCAGTTTACGGTACTAAAATCGCTTTCTGAGAAACACCCACATTAACCCACACGTGTACTTTCTTCAAGGGTACCCCTGTGCTGAAGAAAAACAACCATTTGTTGTCTTTCTTTCGGGGCTCGGCCCCCCCCAAAAAAAAACGACACGTCGCCGATTTGTTTGTCCAAATTGGCCACAAAATCCCCTGTAGGGGAACCCTCCCAACCAAAAAAGTTTGGTTAAGAGAAGGGCACTAATTACTGGGGGACCTAGGCAAATCTGTCCCCCCACCAAAAAAAACAAAAAACAGGCTGGGGCTGAGAAACAAAAATCTGGGGTCCACATGGTTCCCCCCTCTTTTGGGTCCGCCTGCTCCTTCAGCAGCCGGTTCTCCTCATCCAGCTGCTCCACCCACCGCGCCACCTGCTGCGCCTCCAGCGCTGCCTTCGCCGCCGCCGCCCGCGGGGAGCGGCTCATCGCGGAATTCGACGCGCGGGGCTTGGCACCGAGTGGACGTGGTGTTGGCCCGTGGTTGGCGGTGTTTGCCTGTTTTTTTTTGCAAATGCCCGGTTTTGGCCCGGGGTTGGCGGCTTTTTTCCGCGTTTTTGTGGTTTTGGCCGCTTTCCGGGCTTTTGTGGTTGTTGCCCGTTTTGGCCCCGGATTTGGCCGTTTCTGCCCCAGTTTTTGCCCGGGTTTGCCCGTTGCTGGCCGTTTGTGGCTGCTTCTTGAAATGTTGTATTCTTGGCTGCTTTGTTGATAGGTGTCCGCCAGTATGTGTCTAAGCCTATACTTACTATACTGTTGAAAAATATGCGTATGCGTCTCCCTCCCTCTCTCTGTCTCTCTCTGTATAAATACTGCATGCATGTGTAGTTGTTGTAGATGCATGTCACTGCTGCAACTTAGTGATGATGTGGGTCGCCGCAACTACGCAACTGCTGCCAGTGTGAGGCGTCAAGCAAGAGAAGGCTCGATCCGGCACAGCATACCACTTGGAAAACACAAAACACCTTCCAAACAGACATGGGTATATTTGCGTTTGAGGGTAGCCTTTTGGGGGTTTGGAGGGCCCTCCAAATCAAGAGACCACCCACAGGGAGCCTGAAAAGGGATCCCCCAACAAAAACTGTGTGACTTGTTTTGGGAAGGCGGCTCTCCCAAATGAAGTCTTCGTTTCAAGAAACCACTGCCCTTCTATCACAGAAGTGAGATTCAAGCCCTGACCAGTTGTTGCCCTATTCAAACAGCTTGTGAGCAAAATCCAGAGATTGAATAACAATTCCCCTGGAATCAGCGCTGGGTATGTGTCAAAATAGAGGGACCCCACAAAAATGGTAGTTGGTCTGGGTTCCCATTAAACCAAGCTGGACAAGGGTGCCCTGCATAAAACACGCACCCAGTTGCACCCCTAGGACAACCTCCATCCTGGGTGAAATGGGTGGCAACCGCCTGAAATGATTTCCAGATCCATCCTTCGTCAAAGTGTGCCTGTCTCCATGACCCTTTGTGGGTCTTCTGGGTGTATGAACTGTATGACCCCCCGCAATTTGTTCAGGGTCAAGACTCCAAGTTGACCTAAAACATGGGGTCTTGAGCCCTTCGCTTTGTGGAGACCTTCCGTTTTAAGGGACAAGACTCCAAGTTGATTCTCGAGTTGAACCATTGAAATCCCATTGGGCTGGGGAGGGATTTGGATGAAAGAGTGCCTTGGCGCCTGGAAGGGAATGAGTGGAGTCAGAAATGGCTCAGGGTCCGGCCGACGTGGAACTTCTACCCCGAAGTACATGAATCCAAAGTACCACAAGAAACTGATACACGAGGGGAAGATTGAACAGGTAGACGCTTCTGCACGGAGCCGTTGACAATCTTTCATTTGCTTAAGTCCCCTGGAGAACAAAAACACATATTTCCAGTAGTGATAGATTCCCTTTAAAACCAGCAAACAGGGGAAATTAAAAAACAAATACTTGAGCAATCCCCTGCATCCATTAAAAAGGAGGGCTCCTCCCTTGGCTTCAGATCGCCAGCACCAAATCTAGGTCCTCCAGATTTGAGAGGTTTAAATCAGGGTATCCGATTTTTCTCTTGTGTGGTCTATTTTAGTAGGGGAACCACATCTCCCCCCGAAAAAGGGGAGAGAAAACAAAACCTAGCTGGGGGACCTAGAAATCTATCAAGGAAATCCGCCTCTAAGCGTGTTGCTTGCTTCGGTTTCATCTCGATTTGCAGGGATACCCTCGTCTACTCCTTCAGTTGGTCGTCATTTGCCTTCAGGGGGTGTATGCTCTTGGCCTAAGTTGGCAGCAGTCTGGGCTACTCCTCAGATCCCCTGCTAAAAGTGACTAACCTTGAATGAAGTTGAACCGGATGGGAGCCACCAAGCAGTGAAGCTTAATTGCTTTCAACTTGCATCTCAAAATGATCCTCGGAACTGGGGGGGGGGAGGGAGCCCAAAGCTCTGAAAGAAGCCCTGAGATTTTGGCCTCCCCCCTCTCCCTCCCCAGCCCCCGCGATATCCTCTTGGTTTGAAGGGGGAACCCCAGAACTCATTTTGAACACCTCACACTAACCCCGATATCTTGCTTGTGCGATAAGTAGGGAAAGAGGGAATGAACCTGGGGATTGCCTCAAAGGACACCACCCGTTGGATGGCTTGTATGGTTTATTCCGTTTCTCATTCCCTGCCGATCACCAGCAAGTTATTCTAGTATCAAAGTCACCCCCAAGTGGAAAGTCAAAACCACCCGTCGCTGGCTTTGCATCCCGCCAACCACTAAAAGCCCAAGTTGCAACTTTCCGAAAGCGCGGCTCCGACTGAAGGAATTGCCGGCCTGAGCGATGACCGCCATTTCCTGCGAGCAGCCGAGCTCGCCCTGTTGAGGCCATAACTCAAAAGGGTTTGTCGAAAACACCCTCCCTGCCCCGCTTCAAGTACCTCCCTGCCCGCAAGCCAAACAACCTGCTATTTGCTTAGTGTCCGCTTGAACCCTTCAATGCTAAGCCACTCTTAAATCTAAAACATGTGAAGCGCCCAAACTGATTTCTATTGGACAGCTTGTTGAAAACGACAAGGTCTTCAAGCTCCCAAAGGAGCCCCTGCGTGAAGGCCAGCCACGCATTAGCAGCTGTTGCCATTGAAAGTCTAGACCAGAAGGGTTCAATTGGGTGAGAAGGGGCCAGAAGCAAAAAGGACGAGGACCGAGGGGTCCAGGGGGCCCTCCAATCCTCTAAAAAACATACCTTGGATGGACGAAATCCTGCATCACCTAAGGAACCCTGGAATAATGATGCATAAATACCAACAAACGCTGGTTTCAACCCTGGTAAGTCATTTCGTGGTGCGAACGGATTTGGATTTCGCAACCATCCACCGTAGTTTTTGGGGGGCTTGGCGACCTTGAGGGGGCGGAGGCCCACTCCTTCGAGATTGTTTTCAAGGGAAGCCATCAAGACCACTTGCCAAGGTAGGTGTGGAATCACCGAGCCAGGGTGTTGGGAACGAACCGCTTTTGGATGGGGTTTCCCTTGCAGGATTCAAGGAAACCACCAGTTGAATGGCTCTTCTGGGGGTCAGACTCCATGTCTCATTCGCTGACCAGCGCGAAACCCGAAATCCACGTGAGTCATAATCAAAACCCGGTATTCAAATGGTCGTAATCCCAGAACCATGCTTCAAGAATTAAGAAGGCGGATTCCGCAGCTGTTTATGGCTGGGAGCATCCCTTACTAACCTTCATCAGGGATCCTTGCATGATACACCTGAACATTGCAACTTGTAAATGGTGGTTTCCAACTTTATTTTGATGCTCACCTGGCACCGAGTCCAAAAAGCCGAGCCTGCGTGGCCACGGGATCCAGGAGCTTGGCAGCCTGCTTGAAACTCGGGCGCTGTCGGCCCGTGGTTTTTGGGGGGACTTCGGTTTAGATTTCCTTCAGACCTGCCAAAAGGGGGTCCAATAAGAAAATAATGCTCTCCCTTTAGTTTCTCTTGAAGCCAACCAAAAGGGGGTCCCCAAAAACACATACCCAGAATCTCACCGCTGACACACCCTCTTGACTATCAGCACCCTTTGAACACTAGGAAAATGGCTGGCTACCTGACTGGGTCCACTGTGATAAAACAATTTGGTATGTTTGGTGGGTTTGGGGGAGGGGGAAACGTGTGTGACTCTCATAATGCACGCAGGGCTAAAGAATAACACGCCTTACTCTCTTAGGAGCATGTCTTAGTTTCTTGTCCTTTAAAGTCCCCCATAACCCCCCCATGCTGATTCTTGAGGCCCTTGCAGTAGACCAACACGGGCGTGTTTTAGGGGCCCGGCGGGAGCAGTGTTATGAAGTGGGTATAATGTGGAAAAGACTTGGATATGACATAACATGGCTGTAAAGAAGCGCCAGTAGGAGTGAGCAATAGGAAACCTGCTTTGCGCTAACTCTTGCTGGACTCCTTGTCCCCCTCCCTCCCTCCCTCCCTCCCTCCCTCCCTCCCTCCTTCCCTCCCTCGTCACCCAGCCATCCAATCGAGTCGAGCCTGGTCTGGGCGCTCAGCCCGAAAAGCAGCAGCGATGCGCGCGTTGAGCTTCATGACCTGCGGATCGAGTTGAGACGCATGACTCACCTGGGGTACTCCATCTTCGTGGCTTTCTTGGTCTTGTGTTCTCTGAGCTGCCCTCAAAATCGCCCGCTAAAAGTTTAACTTTTAGTGGGGCAAATGGAAACTACCACTAAACACTAAAAAGCTAAAAAGCCAAAACGCTAAGGGGATGGCTGGGAGCCACCAAGTTCTATATTCCTCCAGTTGGGTCTCTTTTTCAGAGTCGGTGTACGTTTTTGCGTGGTGTTCAATGACACCAACCATTTGTTAGGGTCCCCTAAACAAAGACACTCCCATTTGCGAATAAGTCCCCTGGAAATGGAAAGAAAAACGCATAACAACTGATAGATTCCCTTTCAATCCAACCGGGGAAAATAATTGTACTTTCTCGAACAAATGGAAGCATTTAGTCTACCCCAAAATATAAAATAGTTTGGAAGGGGATCCCAGAAAATGCCAGGCAGAACCCGTGGATGATCCATCCAAAGGGATTGGATGGGTTACTGGGCTGTCCTCAGATCCCCTGCTAAAAGCGAGTAACTTTTAGTGGGTAAAATTGAAACTCCCACTACACCAACTAAAAACCTCAAAACCTAAGGAACCGGACGGCTGCGAACCGCCAAGACTATACAGCTGCGACATCAAGAAGCGGACTTGCACAGAACTCAATGTACACAGCGTTGAGTTCATCCCAATTGCCCTCCCACCAATTTACATGGAACCTGGCTTTTCGGGGGATCTCGGTTTGGTCCATTTTCCTTTTTAAAGGGATCAGTTTCTTGTCATGGTCCACATTTATTCGTTTGAGGGTAGTTCTATCGGAAAAGATTCCCGCACGAATTCTTTATGGACTAGTACGCGGAAATTGTGTAATGCGCGCTCATTCTGGGGCTTGTTCACAAATTTGGAGTACATGCGAGATTCTTTCAAGTTCCAATTTGTAGAGAGTAGCTTAGGCGTGAATCATTAAGTGGGACCCTGGGACACCATCTAGATGGTGTCCACCAATCACTTTTCGCGAAGATTTGATTTTGGGGTCTCAAAGCAACCAATTTTCAGGGGCCAGTAGCCACCACTTAGGGTGACATGATTGAGATCCATGACAGGCTGGGAGCAGTTTGAATTCAAAGTGGAAGAGGGTCACAAGAATTGGAACTATTCCTTGCATGGAATCCTCATGGAGGCACCGCTAGCGTTGCAGTAGTCAATGACCGCCTTGCATTCCTGCAATCAGGCTCCGTCCCTGTCAGAGAGTATGCTGTTGGTTCTTGACATGCGCGACACAATTGACATGTTGTGTGTGTGTGTGGGTTTTATTATTCTTTCTCTTTTCTCATTTTTGTTGGCGGGGCGGGTTCATACGGCACAGTCGCATCCTTTTTGAGGAAATGCCTGAAATGAGCGATCCACAAGAAGCACGCTTTGCGAACGGGTGAGATCATATCATGTGCGCAGATTTGTCCCGAAGTATCATGACTACAAATGAGCATCCAGTAATTTTGCCAAGCCTGTGACTAGCCTCGTACATCATGTCCTCCGTCATTGAGAGCCTTGATGATTAAAACAAAAACAAAACATGTTGCATTGTCCATTCCCTCACTTGCCTCAATTTTCCTTTTGGGACTTCTATCTAAAGTGAACCTAAAGGGAAACCCACCAAAGATTGATTCAAGCTGTTGTTCATGGGCTGCGCCTCGACCCTGTGGCACGACTACAGGTGAAGCAAACCTGGGCAACCAAGATGAAAGATGATGACACCAAGGGCGAAACCCTCGTAAACACTGATTAAACAGGTTCACTTGTACAGTTGCCGAGCCACGTAACAACAGAAGACACTTTTGTTTTCTTTCACGTTCAACAAGAGTAACAGGGTTAATGGGCAAAACACAAACAAGCTCTTATGAATCTTGTTTCCAGGGCCCCATGAAGCCCCCTGAACAAATAGAAAGCACGACGCAAGGTGGAGTGCATATGACCCCGCCTCGGCCACGCCGGGGGCAGTGGCCGACACAAGACCATCCAAGGGGCCACAGAGCATGTTTACCTGGGCCGCATCCCCAACTCTGCTCATCAATCCCTCAAAAAGCGGCCAACCCCTTTTGGGGACACCCCACCTCAAATATCCCTTGTCAAGGTCTAAAAATGCAAGCTTTGGGGTGGCAGCTCACTGTCTAGACGTCAGGCTGAAAAAACCCGGCAACACAGGTCAAAAGACCAGCTGTTTGTAACGATTCATCCATTCAACCCCACAGGCGCGCTTTCGCCTAGATCCAGCCGATCATTGCCTTGGGCCACTTGGTGCAGGGCTACTCTGTGTGGAAAGGCGATCAGGGATACCCAACGAAGGGCACAAGGAGATGCATGTCATGCGTCAAAGCCCTCGCCTCAAACAGCCCTAGATGCCCATGCCACTTAGTGAGGTTCGTCATCCCAGAATAAAAGTAAGGTTGGTCATCCCAGAAAATAGTAATTCGTGTCACGCATGTAGGATAAATGCCACTTGGCAGACTTGCCAAACAAAGCTTGTTACCAACTTAGCAACTGGGGTGGTCATCCATCTGGGTGTGTGCTTTTGTTGCTGGGGGGATTCCTGTTTGGGGGTTGGTTTAAAGGGACACCAACAAGAAAACCAACGGAGGACTGGCCAAAAAAAGTCTTATCTTGACATGGCCCAAGCCCCAAAAAGCAGGGTTGTGGAATCACTCGGGGTTTATTCAACCACTTCGGTGATACTTTTGGGACTCTCCCCCTTTATGGGGTGTTCGTCTTTCGGGTTCGGCCCTTTTTGTATCACAGATTCGTGGAAAAAGTGAAAGTCCGAGTCCCCGGGACGCGAGTCCGTTCGGGTGCGCCTTTTTTGCCCCGTCCGAGGTTCATGGGGGCTGGGGAAAAGGCAGGGGGGGAGGGAACCTCAAGCCCCAAATAAGGCCTTCTTCGGGGCTTAATGAGGGCTTATTGGGGCTCCCTCCCCCTCCCCTCCCCTCCCCTCCCCTCCCTCCCTCCCCTCCCCTCCCTCCCTCCCCTCCCCCCCAGCCCCCATGAGAGGTCTAAATGGTTCCAGGCTACCACGAAGTTCTCGTTGGCGTTGGACATAAGGATCAGCCTTCGATTTCGAGCGGGCGAGAAGGCGGTGGGATTTGATGGTCCAGGCGGATTTTTTTGGGGCAAATTTGGGTAGGGGTCAAAATTCAACCAACAGGGGACCACAGGTTTTAGTCCATGTTTCCATTTGCCAGAGTTCCATTTTGGGTACCTATTTTTGACCCACAGCCAAATAAGCGATGAATCAAAAATCCACGGGATGGACAAAATAACAATCCGAATGCCATTTGATTCCCGAAGTTCGATGGAACAAATTCATTTCGCACCTAATTGGTAGGTGGGTGATCCCACTCGGGTTTTGTCCATCTCGACTGAAGGATTTCGTCCATTCACAACAGCCACTTGTAACAAGTGTCTCCTCACAGTGATGCCTGCCAAACCGCCCAGGCGACTAGCGGAGGGTTGTGCTAAAACGACAGGCTTGGGTACCAGTTGACACCATCATGTCAAAGCTCAAGGCTTCAAAATCCCTTGTTTGCCCGAAACTTCAGAGTCTCTTGGACATGCTGTGGTACCATTGTCAAATCAAGCGAGGCCATGTCTCCCATCTTAGAGTTCTGGGGTAAGAAGTAAGAAGCGATCGACGCATCCAATGAATTGCCTTGACACGAACTGTCCCTGGGACTTCCAATCTTGAAGGTAATTAATCTTAAAGGGCTCAAAATCGTATGAATTTCTAAACTGATTGATTTCTTCATTACCCGCAATCTAATTCGCTCGAATTCCTGGCAATCCAATCTTGAAGGGTGTGAGTTTGGCGGCTTCCTGAATCCACTCCGGGGGTTGAGTCGGGGGGGCCCAATCCCTTCCTCCACCCGACACCAGGTTGATGGTGACCCCAAAATCGGGGGACCCCGAAAATCAGCGGCTTTCTGTTGGGTTCCCTTTAAAGACACCCCCAGAAGGCTTACCATGGCTACCCTGGAGCACAAGCACAAACGCACAGAGACACACACAAACACAAACACACGGAGATACACACACACACAACATGCAAACGCACACACAGAGACACCCAGAGACACACACACACACACACACTCACTCTCACCCTTTTCTTGGGGGGAACACTTTTTGGCGTAAGGGGGTTTCCTTTTGGTTTTCCTCCAAAACCAACCAAAAGGGGCTCCCACCAAAAAAACAGACAGACCCATATGGAACACCCTGGTTCATCAATCTGGTTGGGATCCCTGATGCCAACAAAAACCGCTGGGTCTCCCCGACGCCGTGGGACAATCCACCTGTCGCAAGACCTCCAGGAGCTTGGAAGGCCTGAGCGCGGCGCGGGGGCTGCATGCGAGCAGGTGGCTCGTAGACGAGGGTCCAGTCAGGGTTCCGTTTTTTCTTTTTTTTCTTCTTTTTTTACCTCCTTGCGGTAGGCCTAAACCCAGGCGTTGTCCTTTTGGGGGAATCAACCACCCCTGGGTTAAGTCTGCTTGGGGTAGTCAAAAACGGAACCCTGGATTCAGTTGCGTTACCCCTGAATTCGCTAAGCCAAGCTCTTCCATTGCTTCTTTCGTCCCCTGGAGAAAATAGAACGTACTTTCAGTAGCGAAATCGATTCCTTTTAAAACCAAACGTGGAACAATAACGGATTGGTAGGCAAATGGAAATATATGAAAGCAAGAACGCATCCATGGTGAACATCTAAAGATTAAAACCCCGGTCACTGGCTACCTGCTGTAGTGGTAAGTTCTCAGAAACCAACTGCAGGAAGCTCTAGGAAACCCCTGATTTTGTTGGGAGTTTGGCTAGTTTCCTGTAGAGATTCCTGTAACTGGTTTCTATGATAAGTGGATCTCCAGGAAGACAACACGTTCAAGGTTCATGGTAGAGGGGTGCGCGACGCGCACCTCTTGAGGTCCGAATCGGACATCTCTATTGGCGAGTCAAGATATCTGGCTCCCGTGAGAATCGCTCTCGGATTTCAACCCCTCTCTCACTCAACCAAACCAGTGGATCCCACTTACCACTATGATAGAGCCATTATCCTTTTGGTTTCCTGAAGGGTGGCAGGCCGTTTACCCGCCGGTACCAGGCAAATGGACCGAGCGAACCAAACCAAACCAATGGGCTTCCTAAGGCGCGATGGGGCCTTAAAGTTGGGTCTTGTTTTGAGAGGCGGGAGAGGCGGCTGCTATTGCGAGGCGGTTATACTCAGAAAGGTGTGCCGCGAGCTAAGGTACTCGTTTCTGGAAGTGGGGTAGGGATAGGGATCCTAGCGCATCTGATTGAAGAACCTGACATCATGATAGATGCCCAGTAAGATCTTGATTTAGAGCCATAGACAAGGCATTGAGGACCATGTGTCATGACCTTGCCATGACCTTCCCGTGGCTCCCCTTGCTGCTCCCAAACAGGGATCCTTACATTATTCACCTGAACATTGCCTTGTAAATGCTGGTTTCCCTTTATTTTGGTGGAAAAAGCCATGTTTTAAATGGGCAAAATATATCTTTTAAGGAGCCCTGCCAAACAATATTGGATATACGATAAAAGAGAGTCGTATTTGCGTGGGTGCTTTGTGAAGGTCCCCTGTTTGGGTTGCTTGAAAGGGAAATGAAGGGACGCCAACCACTTGGAACGTGCCCTTTGACACATACCATGTGCTGGATTCCAACCAACTATCAAGCAAGTGAAGGAAAGGGGTTTTAATATGCGACGAAAAGCCAGGGTCCGACAAACAAGACACTCAGACAATCCCTTGGGAAGATCAACTTCCAATTTGCCTAAACTTACATTATACACTTGAACATTGCCTTGTAAATGGTGGTTTCCTTTTATGTTGGTGGAAAAAGCCATGTTTTAAATGGGCAAAATATATCTTTTAAGGAGCCCTGCCAAACAATATTGGATATACAATAAAAGAGAGTCGTATTTGCGTGGGTGCTTTGTGAAGGTCCCCTGTTTGGGTTGCTTGAAAGGGAAATGAAGGGACGCCAACCACTTGGAACGTGCCCTTTGACACATACCATGTGCTGGATTCCAACCAACTATCAAGCAAGTGAAGGAAAGGGGTTTTAATATGCGACGAAAAGCCAGGGTCCGACAAACAAGACACTCAGACAATCCCTTGGGAAGATCAACTTCCAATTTGCCTAAACTTACATTATACACTTGAACATTGCCTTGTAAATGGTGGTTTCCTTTTATGTTGGTGGAAAAAGCCATGTTTTAAATGGGCAAAATGTATCTTTTAAGGAGCCCTGCTAAATCCCCTCGAAATAAGCGTATTTCCTACGTAGTGACTCCCTCTGAAAGTAACACGGCATAAGCAAATGGGTATGTCGTTTTGAAGGTACCCGTTGTTTGCGGGAAGAGGAAAGACTGGGGGAAAACGCGCTTCTTCTCTCTTCTTTTTTTGAGGGGGGGGAACAAAGGACACATCCCAACCTCCATTTGCTTTTTCGTCCCCTGGAAAACAAATACATCCAATCGTGATAGATTCCTTTAACAACCAACAGGGGAAAACAACAAACATATTCATTCAGCAAATGGAAGCAAATGAAAGATGAAAGCGGGCCAGCTAAAATACACCTGTGATCCCGGCTGTACACCGCTCACGAGGCGCACGGTCTTGACTGCGTCCACGCGCTGCATCAAGGGCGCGACCTTGTCCTGGCACAGACGGCCGAAGAGCGGGCGCCTCGATCCCCAAATTAGTGGCAAAAGTGGTACCTCAATCCAGAAAATTCGGCAAAAGCACGTTTTTTTTTCCAGCGACTTTTGCATGTTTGTTGGGGCTAAAATGGGCTAAAGAAGTGGGTAAAGCGGCTGGAAAACTGGTAACGTTTTTCGCAGTGTTTCCTACTCGGACGTTCGATTCGCCAAGTTGGCAAGACATCTTCAACGTGTCATTCAAACCATGCCCATCATCCTGACAACCAGCTCCTCGAGAGTAGATGGGATGCAAAGCTGCCTGCCCAAGCTGCCCAAACAACGTGGAGCAAAGAAAGTGCACCTTCCCGGCTAGTCGCTCTGCGTCGACAGTCAACCGACTCCGCTCCAGAATGCTGCGAAGCATGGCAAGCAGCTTGGCAATCCGCGCTGGGTGCGGCCGTAAGGTCACAGCATCACCAGGTTGGCCTGGAATTATCACCTATGGCCGGGTACGTAGATCAAAGCCCAGGTTATTCATCCACTCACTCACTTGGCATTCGCGCTCCCAAAGGCCTTGGGCTCAAACGCCCGATTTTGTCGCCTTCGTGAGTCCCCGCAAGGTCAGTTGAGTCATAATCAAAACCCGGTATTAAAATGGTTTACCCAGAACCATGCAAAGAATTAAGAAGGCGGATTTCCGCAGCTATTTATGGTTGGGATTGTCCCTTATTAACAATCATCTACCCGGTTTTGGTTGTGGCTCAGTTGCCCTTTAGGGACCTGGGAAATACACGGTGATCACCTTGTGGGGGCCATGTGCAAAGATGGACCAAGGGAAAACCAAAGGTTAAAAGGTCATGGGTTAGTGTTCTTGTGTGGGGTAACCGTTTCGGGGCTGACCTTTCGCTTGAGGATTTTGAGGTAGTCTTTTCATGGATTCAAACCCACCAAAATCAATTTGTTCCAAAAATTGGGTGTGTCGTTTCTTTTTAGGCCCCCTCCCAAACTGGATTCGGCCGTCGAGCGAACGCCTGAAGCAGCTTGTAGTCTTTGGAAGCCTCCTGTAGCAGCCTGCGTCGCGGCTGTTTGGGGCACCTCGGGCGGAGAAAAACAAAAACAGCTTGGTTTGGTTTGACCACTTCTTTTTCACGTTTCCGACAACAGCCAGGTTCACAGAGATGTTCTGGGAACCAGTTACTTAGATTTGCTTTATCCACCTGGTTTCTGTGAAAAAAACTAAACAAAACATGTCCCCAAACCAACAGACTGTAGACTACTTGGCCCACGTCTGGGGTATGCAGAAAATATATTTGTTCAGATACCATTAGTTGCTACAGCCCTGTTGTCTCTTCGGGAAGCCAAGGCCACATAAAATACGCCCCTCTCACCAAATATGGAAGTGTTTGTTGACCCCTTTTGGATGACTACTTCAAAATGCTTTAAGTTTGGAATGGGTTCTGTGCACCTAAATGAAAACCAGGATAAACACACGCAAGGGGAACACCAGCGATTTGCTATCCTGAGCTGGTCGAGAAAAACAAGCCTCAAATGGCGAGGTTGCAAGCCATCTGAGTTGGCAGTCACCCACATGCCAGAAGAGCCTCCATTCAATCAGCTCGCTGCCATTTAACATTTTAAAGGCAAAGCATTTGACGGTGATGGTTTATGGCGGTGCGCAGCTCTCCAAACATGAGCTGGTGTGATGCAAAGGATTCTTCAAACTGCGCAGCACATCATAGAACATTTACCCTCCCACCAATTAACATGGAACCTGACGTTCGGGGGGTCCTGGAGGACGATTCTCCTTTTAAAGGGACTGGGTCCCTGTCAGGTTCCACATGAAGGGTGGGAGGGTACATGGGCTGGCGAAGAATCATTCGCTGGGACCACAACTTCGCTGAATCTGAGTACGACCCCCTTGACAAAACAACTGCCGTTTCAACACCACTTTTGTTTAGACAGCCTCCGGCTTCTGCAGATGACTTCACCAGTGAGCCTTTCTCTTGTTGAATCATTCCGGTAGAGAGGGTGTCCTGCAACTTTGACTAATTCGCTTGTCCCGTAAGCTTCTTTGTCACACAGGAGCCCGTACCCCACCCCAAGGAACGAAAAAGGCCCAAACCCATCCCCCCAAGAAAGCCCCAAACAGGAGAAAGCACCACTGCCATCTGGCGTAAGGATTCAGGATTCATTTTGAAAACAATGCAGCAGACCGAAAAAACAAAATCAACCAATGTCAAGCACGAATTTGCGTAGCATGTACCTTGTGTGACGCGCAAAAAAACTCAATTGCTCCATAGTGCTCCGCTTGTCTCAAACCAATATATTCTGAAGTCTAGCGAGTACAACCACCGCGTAGAACTTGTTTGCAACCGTGATCGCGCTAATGGTTTATGTCACATGTCATTTCATGTGAAATCGCAGAGGCATGCCTGTATGTGTGCATGTCTGTGCATAATGGCGGTGTGTTGGCGTATGGCCTGGGGGTTGGACACTAACAGTTTGACTTTTAGTGGGAAACCCACCACTAAGCCAACTAAAAACTTGAAAACCCTAGAAACCGAACTACCCATGGGAAACCCACAACTTCACGAAACCAACTAAAGGCTTAAAAACCCTAGACACCTAAAAACCTAAGGAAACACTAAACCAACTAAAGGCCTAACACACCCAGAAACCTAAAACCTAAGTAACCGGACGGCTGGGAATCTTTCGTGCCTGATGATGGGGCCATCCGCAAAGAAGTCCTGCCGTTCCACCCAAACGCGGATGGCATGGGATTGGTTGGATCCAAGGTTTCAGCCCAGAGAATTCCGTAAGTTCAGTGCGTTTCTGTGAGATCCCTGAAAGAATTCCGGTTCCTTACTTGGGTGCTCGGCCAAGTTAGTACGTGGTTAGCCACCTGGGGTATAGTCTACTTACAACCGGCCCAACTCACTCATAAGTAGGTTATACCCCAGGTGGCTAACCACTTACTAACTTGGCCGAGCACCCAAGAAGGGTTCCTTTTATTCGTTTGTTCAAAGCCGACCTTTTGACCTGTTATATTTCTCATGTACCAGTGTCCAAAGTTGATTCAACATACTGTGGATGGACGAAATCCATGTCTCACCACCTAAGAAACCAGGAGTGACGATTCTCCTGTAAATACCGTTTTATGGTTTCCCATGAAATCAAAGTGGTGCCGGATTTTGTCCTTCCGCAGCAGGGGTGTGACCGAAAAATGGGTGTCGTCCTTTTAGCTTCCTTTTAAACCAACCCTTCAAAGGGTAGCCTCAAAACAAGACTGAACCAAGTACATATCCAGTCGTGAACATCTCCCTTCAAAAAACATCGGGAACAATGAGCAATGTCCAAAGCAGTGAGCGATGTCTGGCACAAATGCCACGAGTCATGATCGACCTCTTTTTTCCCCGAAAGTGGCCAGTAACCGCACGGCTTTAGGCTATCAAGGAAGGTCCTCAGCCTCACCATGTGCGGTGGCAAAGCTTACTCTGGTGAACACGGCTGAACCCCACCACCCATCTTCTTCTATTTGCTTATATAAGCCCCCTGGAAAAAAAAGAAGTATACAGTGATAGGAAACCAACACGGGGGAAAAAGACAATATTCTTAAGCAGATGGACGTTTTCCTGTGTGGGTCTTTCCACGTGGGAACCAACTGTTCCGTCCCCAATGCCCACTTCGGCAGTACCTGTATCTCATCATCGCCAGCATCCATTTGAGAAGATTTTGTTCCAGTCGTTCCATCGCTAGCCGGGCGCTCATGGCATATTGGCCAATGTCAAGGAAGCAGGTCTTCTCATTTTCTATGTGAGCCCTGAACAACACTACTGGCTTTCTGGAGAGGATATAATTTATACTTGTCTGGGTGGGCGGCCGTAGTGGGACACCACTACACCCACTACAATGCGTAGATGAAGAATTGATTTTGAGCCCAGCTTTACACAAAGCTCTGCAAGGTATTATTGGTCTGCACGTATTCAGGATTTCTTAAAACAGACATCCAACAACTCAGCTGCTTAGCATTTGAAGGTTAACGTAAAACAACCATCCAAAAAACGTCTGGTAGTTGGGCGATGCTTTAAGAGGCTTGTAAAGCCCACTTCCCGAGTAGATTGGCTAAAAAGGTCTTCCCAAATTGCGGGAACAGTCTGGGAACTCTGGGAGTGAGAAAAAAAGAGAGTGCAAACGCCTGGTAGTTGGGCGAGCTTTTTGTTTTTTTTCAGGCAGGTGGATCCTGCGCTCGAGGCCTTCCTGAGATTCCCTCCGTTCCGAAAAAAGGAAAGGAAGCCTTTCCGAGATTCCGTGGGCTCTATGGGCTCTTTGGAGCTTGGCTGGAAAAATCAGCTTGACCCCAGCAAAAAATGCTTTATGTTTTGCCCGGTAGTGGAAAACCAAGGGAACCCCCAAAAAGGCAAAACAATAAAAGGGGGGGACTAATTCTGGGGAAGGGAGATGGGTTAAGAATTCTGGCTGGAAGTCCTTTTTGTTGGAGTTAAAGGGAAACCAAAAGGAAACGGCGAAAGCCGTATTTTGGAGGGGTACAAGACAAAAACACACACATACGGGTCTCAGTTCTTTTGGAGTTGGTACCCCTTTTCGTGGTTTTAAAGAGACACCAAGAGGAAACCGTTTGGCCATTTTAAGGGTTCCCCTGAACAAAGACACACCATATGGGGGTTGATCAAAAGGTCACGACTTTCAACACAACTCAGGACCAGGAATATTGATCACCCCCCCCCGCATGGAAAATCGTTTGTTCTGGATCTGGTATGTTCGGACTCAGGTCCATATTTGGCCGAGCCTATACTATAAAACCATTTGTAGGAGATTTCAGGTACTAGACTTCACGAATTAGGGAATCGCCACGTGAGTCCCAATTCCCACCTCGCAAGAATGGGTCCACCGGAAACCTATATAGAATCAAAAGAGCCTTTTTGGCTTTCCTCTGTTATTTCTGGTGGGACAGAAGTCGCCCTAGACATATTCTACCCAGTCTGGTGTGAATTCTAATTGGGGACCCTTTGGTGGACGTCATTTTGGTTTGGACTTTTGTCCACAAGACATCTGGGAGGGCTTCGTTCATCAAAATTCATGGCCAGACATCCATTGTGGCTAGGAGCCTTCGCAAGGCCCAGAATCCGTACCAAGCTTCTTCCGTGGAAGGCATCCGTGGCCGAAATCAATGGATAGCAAAATTCCTCTCGTCCAACCATTAGAGACTTATGAAGATATATGGGTGTGAAGTTAACAAGGGACCCTGTGGTGGACACCATTTAGGTCGGGATTTGTGTCCACCAACCACTTTGGAGGTGGTTCCTTATTGGAAATTCATGGCCATATTTTTGAGGAACCATCCAGGGTTTCGGGCAATCCGACTTGCCCACTCCTTGTCTTCCTCAAAGTCATTCACCAGCTGCGCCTTGGCTCAAATGAGAGTTCTTCTGCCAATGTCCAGTGACACCTTTTCCGTGTTCCTTCCTGGTCGTGAGAAGGATCCCCCTTCGACATCAACCGCCAACAAAGTAAGTGGGTTTTTTGGGTTTCCAACGGAGCAAGTAGGCTCCTCAGATCTGCTCAGGGCGCTTCAGGTCACTTCCGGAAACTTTAGGGCGCTTTCTTGGCCCAGGGCACCTAGTCAGCGGAAAAAACAAACAGACACGAAATAATGTTCGGGCAATTCGAACTCGGGCACCCTTTGGACCAACCCTGGAGGGTTGGTTCGTCAGAATTCGTAGCCATGGCTGACCAGTGACGATGCAGAACCCGTATCTGAAGCTGTACGGAGCAACCTCATGCCTGTCACTGTGAATAAGTGATCAAACTGCAATGTCCGTTTTCTGTTTCTTTTTTTGCTAAAAGTCACTCACTTTTAGTGGCGTTTTCTGATCCGCTAAGAGTCACTCACTTTTAGTGGGTATTCGGAAACCCAACCACTAAACCAAAACCCTCCGGAACCGGATGCCTATCGCGAGGGGCCATAGGCGCCAGGAGTATTGGAGGCAGGGTTCCATTTTTTGACCCCAGGGTCGACTTAAACCCAGGGGTTGTTCATTACCCCATAAAGGAGAAGCTCTGGGTTTAAGTCATCTTGGGGTATTCAAAAAGTGGAACCCTGATTGGAGGAGTCCCCTGGGAGCCATTCTTCCCATTGCCGTGGGGCCAGCTTTTCGCCGTCCACGTGCCGCAAAAGATGAAGAAGGACCTGCCGCTCGCCACCGCTCGCGACCGCTCGCTTCTCAGGCTTCGGGCGACTAACATGGTCCAACCCAAACAGGGATCCGGATGCATGAAAAACACCTTCTATCATTGCAACTTGTAAATGGTGGTTTAACTTTATTTTGGTGTTGAAAAAGCCACCTGTTTCAAATGGTTGCAAAAAACGCAAGCCATCAAGTCCAGGAGCTCAAAAAATAAGACATATCCGAAAATGACCTACCTGCGTGCTTAGATACTTCTGGCTCTGTTTCATGTTCAGTCTCGGCCAGACCAAAGGATCTTGAAATGAAACCCGGCGCTAACCAAGGGAAACCATCGATGGTAAAATGAAACCCAGCGCTAACCAAGGGAAACCCATGGTAAAATCAAGAGGTAAGAATACCTGGTTGACCATAGTGGCCGTGGAATCACTGGGTCACTGGTGAGCCTTTGGGGCCATTGGCGCAAAACAGAAGGCACCCCTGTTTCCATGGGATCTAGAACAGGGATCCGGATGCATGAAAAGCACCTGAACATTGCAACTTGTAAATGGTGGCTTCCCTCTATTTTGGTGTTGAAAAAGCAACATGTTTCAAATGGTTGCAAAATGGACATCTTTTAAGGAGCCCTGTAGATCCCTAAAATGATTGAGCGTATTGAATTGAAAGGGTGCCCCTTTGAGACATATCCATATTCCTCGGGAGGTGCACAACCCCCCTGACGAAGTACTGTCTTTGAATATGGGGTCCTTGCACTTCGTTTGTTTGCGTGAGGCTCTCAAAACAAAGGAGCCCAGCTGTCTTCAACAACTGGGACACCTCCGATAACCAGAGGTTACCTCTAATTAATGGTAGATTTGTGGCTCTTGAACGCAACGCGAATGGCCATCCCCGGCGGATTCGAATGAACTTTCAACAACTTCCGGGCAATCCCCAGTTGCCCAGTGGCGCCCTTTTGTTCCTTGAGTCCTTGAGTTTGGGAAGGGTTCCGAATCCTTTAAGCTCGACCAACCAAAAAAGGATGCCCTTGATTTCCCATGGCGACTGGGCATCTGAGAATCAGGTGCTTCTTTTTTGTGTCGCATCCATTTCTTCAGTCATTCAACAAATCACCGTCTCAAAGTCATGTGTGTTTTCTTTGCCGTGCAAACTGCTTGCCTCCTTGTCCACCAGATTGATGATGGACGCCAAGCGCTTGGCGTCGTGGGTATTAACCTCAGGAGAGGCAACCGAACCCAGCTGGAACTGGATTCGGCTTCCGGGACTTGGTTGTGCCGTTCAAAACCAAACTGGGTTCACGCACACACACACATCAGGAGTGCTCCCAAGACTCTGGCACAGAGGTAGAACTCTGGCTCCTGAAAAAGGAAAAGCAACAGGATTTTATCGATCCTGTACCCTTGTTGCTTGGTGGTGTTGCAGCTTGGTGCAATGCTTACAAGAACCTTGAGGAACACGGGGTCAAGTTGTGGGCAATCAAAGGCTTGGGTCACAGCATCAAGAAATGTCGGCTTGGGAAAAACCATGCATCAAGTAACTAAGTCCTCACAGATCCCAACTGCAAGTGAGAACTGTTCGCAGGTTCGAAGGAACACCACCCTCCTAACACGGAACCCAGCAAAGGGACCCAGTTAGTAGGATTTAGTAGGAAAACAAACTTGAGGGGAGAGTAAAGGACAAGCAGAAAGGCAAAAGGTTCAAGGCAAGCGAAGTCTTGCAAGGAGACTTTTCCGGGAGCCAGAGGCGCACTTGCGGGCCATCTGGCCCGAGCAGGGAACCAGCCATGTTCCTTGTAGCAAGGGTTTCCTTACCTCGACGCCACCCATCAACCTCCAACAATGAAAAAGGGCCGCCCCAACTGACATCGTGGTCATTTGTCCGTTGCTCAGCTGACGCCCGGTTAGGATTCCCGGGTATAACTCAAATTCATGATCTGACCTGCTGAGCTGACCGGCAAAAAGGAGTTGGAACCCTTTGGTCCTCCAAAATGATACAGACACCGACATACACCGACCAACAGGAAGTTTCAAGTTTGCCAACTCAGCAGGGCAAGTGATGGGCACGTGTGCTATAATTCCCAAACTGGTCACGGGCCTTCGTTCGTTTTACCCCCCAAATCGGTGAGCTCATTTTTTACATTCGCAGAACAGTTCGACAAACGCCGTTTTTGGCCAACTGAGGCGCCAGCTAAGACGGGCACCAGGCCCTGGTCGATGATTTGCTGAGGCCTGCGTTATGTGCACGCAAAATTCTGTGCACAAAGTCCACTTCGCACTGGATGGAATGGATCAAGCCCCTGTAAACAGCTGATTGGGTCCATGGCATCCGCAGGACGAGTCCAAACACAAAAACTGGTTCAGGGCACGATGCACTGGTTGATAAACCGCCAATTCCAACTGGCCCAGATTGTGGATTTGGTCCATCCACAGTATTGCGAGGGAGCCATGCAGAGGGGGTTCCCTGTGATTTCCAGGGTGTGGTTGGATGTGGCTAGCTCACTTGCATCTTTTTCAAGCATCAACCGTAACTCGACTTAGCCTTGGACTTGTGAAGCCAACGATCCAAATGAGCATGGCAACATGACATCATGAATTTTAGTGGGCATCAATCCCCGAAGATTCCCAAATGAATACCTATTTTGAGCCACAAACAAGTCTCAGGGATGGCCACGTCAGCCCCCAAGTAGGTTAAAGGGCCCAGCTTTTTTGGCTTTGGTAACCCCCGTCAGTTGAATTGCCTCCCTCCCTCCCTCCCTCCCTCCCTCCCTCCCTGCCTCCCTCCCTCCCACATTGCCATGGCCCCTCACGGGGGTTCCTTGAGTACAAAAACATCTTCCAGGTACCTCTCACAGGTGCCATGGCAACGTGGGACTCACTTACCCCCAAAAGCAAAACCTGGACAAAAACAAGGTTCACCTTTTGTGACCAACGGACTCAAACAGGAAGACCAACAGGTCAAAAGCTCGATTTCGAACATCTGTGTGGGTTAGTCTTCTTTCCTTACGGTACACATTTTGCCCAAACAGCTGAAAGCTATGGGGTCTCTGCCCAGATAGGCTCTGAGGTGGTTTGGAGCACATTTCAGGGAGGACTCCAAAGGGTTCCAAGACGATTGAAGATGGGCTTATTACTTGTTTGGGGGTCAAAAGCTCAATTCGCTGTGGGAAATCCGAGGGACGTGAGTCATAATCAAAACCGATCGGTACTAAAATGGTCGTAATCCCACCATGCTTCAAGAATCAAGGCAGCAAAGGCGCCCATTTATGGCAAGGGGATTCTCTCTTACTAACCTTCATCAATCCCAAAAAACATTTTTTTTGGAGCCAGCGGCTCAAACACGACCCCAAAAACCCCGCACGACTCTACGCCAGACTCGGCTCGATCTGCGCGTCGCGCGTTTCGCGCGTTTCGCGAGTGCCGGGCTCGAGGAGCATCGGCAGAAGCGCTTCATGCACCTCGCAGGGCTTCTTCGCTCCGAGTTTTCTGGCTGTGAATTGTTTGCCGTGGTTGTCAAACCTACTGTGGATGGTAGCGAACCATTTCGCACCACTATGAAACCATAGGAAACCCTTGTTCGTTGGTAGTTACAGGTGAATCATCAGTCCAGAGCTTTATATGTGGTGCAGGATTTCGTCCATCCACAGTAGGGTATATGACTAACCCTAACATGGGTTGCCCTGGGAAATGAAAATAAAACCTGCGGTCCGTACCCTGGTGGTCTAATTTTGACCCTACCCGTTTTGAAGAGCTGTGGGTCAAACATACTGTGGATGGGAAATCCATTCGCACCAGGGGAATCCATGGTTGAACCCATGGTTTGTTGGTATTTGCAAGGGGGAATCATCATTCCATAGTTTCTTAAGTCATGCAGGATTTTGTCCATCCACAGTAGGTACCCAACATGGGTTGCCCTGGAAAATGGAAAGGACTGCAACCTGCGGTCCATACTTGACCCATACCCATTTCAATGGCCGCTACCCTGAGGTTACACGGAAATTCCAACAGGACAAAACAATGTTTGGGGTCCCTCTATTGTGACACACCCAGTTCGCCACCGTCGGCAAGACCGAGAAAAGTCGCACTCCACTCCTTGGATGACCAGCCCATTGAGGCGATACATGCACCCATGCAAGCGAGCGGGACTTACTAAGCGAGCTCGTCATCCAAGTACTTTGGCGAGCTGGAAAACCTCTCCCAATAAACCCCCGCGCCTCTACAAATCAACCATGGCTTGCCCAAGGAGGTCCAATCCCCAACAGCCCCGCGCAACAGCACCTACCTCTAGGAAACGGCTTGGCTGCGGTTTTTGTGGATCCACCCCTGTAGGATGTTAAAAGAGTACTAAAAGAGTACTAAAAAAGAACCTACAGGGGGAAGGACGGGTGAAATCCACAAAAAGCGCAAATCCAAGCCGTTTTCTAGATAACCGGTGGCAATTCAAGGAGGCCATGCAGGCTTCCCGGTAACAATCTCCTGGGTACTCAACTGCCAGTTGTCAGACGAGTCATAATCAAAAACTGGTATAAAACTGGTCGTAATCCCAGAACCATGCTTCAAGGATTAAGGCGGATTCCCGCAACCATTTATGGCAAGGGGATTGCCCCTTAACCTTCACCAATCCCCAGGTTTTGAGCAAGTGGCTCAGCTGGACAAGTATGAAGCTGTTCACTGCTGACGGAACTAGTGAGCCATTTCCATTGCCGCACTTTCATATGGTACGAAGTTGCGTCGCCTTTGTTCCGTCAATCTCTTCAAGCAATCTCGCTGTGTGCATGTTCAACGATCAATGATGTGTCCAAATGGGGGCCCCTCCCCCACTCCCAAATAAATAAATAAATTTGACATACACACGTACATAAATGAGCATGTTCCCTTTAGCTTTCCCAGAATCCACACTGAAAATACAAAACGCACACACACACAAATCTTGGCCCACATCTGCGTACACAGAAAATAAAGCTGTGGATGGGCGAAATCCTGCACCACCTAGCAGACCCTGGAATGGTGATTCCCCTACAAAGGCCAACAAACAATGGTTTCCCATGGCTTCAAAGTGGTGCAGGATTTTCTCCATTCACAGTATGTTCAGGCGCTGTTTCACATTTCGCCCACCCTTAATTGAACAATAGCTTTGGGAGGAGACCCCAGCTGCTAAGTGGCAGAAAAAACATGGGACTTTGAACCACGTTGCCAATCTTTCCCCGTATAATGAATACAAACCATGGTTTGGGAGAAGCTCCCCTTGAAAACAACACAAACCACATACATCACTGTTTGGGATTAAGCAAAAACAAACAAACAAATAAACAAATAATCGAACAAACCCGCCCATGCTAAAAACAAACAAAACAAGCAAACAAAGCAACACAAAACAAACAAACAAACAAACAAAACAAGCAAGCAAGCAAACACACAAACAAAGGCACAAAACAAGAGTCCAACAAAGAAACTCGCAACACAAACAAAGCAAACAAAGCAAACAAAGCAGCAAACAAACAAAACACAAACAAACAAAACACAAACAAACAAACAAACAAACAAACAAGCAAAACAAAGAAACTCGCAAACACAAACACGCAAACAAGCAAGCAAAGCAGCAAAAAAAGAAACACAAACAGTAACAAACAAACAAACAAACAAACAAACAAACAAACAAACAAACAAACAAACAAAACAAGCAAGCAAGCAAGCAAACACACAAATCAAACTCGCAAACACAAACAAGCACAGCAGCACAAAAACAAACACAAACAAACAAACAAACAAACAAACTCGCAAACAAGCAAACAAATCAAACTCGCAAACACAAACAAGCAAAGCAGCACAAAAACAAACACAAACAAACACAAACAAACAAACAAACAAACAAACAAACAAACAAACAAGCAAAACAAAGAAACTCGCAACCACAAACAAGAAAACAAGCAAGCAAGCAAGCAAAGCAGCAAAAAAACAATGCACAAACAAACAAACAAACAAAACAAAGAAACTCGCAAACACAAACAAACAAACAAGCAAAACAAAGAAACTCGCGAACACAAACAAGCAAACAAGCAAGCAAAGCAGCAAACAAACAAAACACAAACACATATACAAACAAGCACAACAAAGAAACTCGCAAACACAAACAAGCAAACAAGCAAGCAAGAAAAAGAAACTCGCAAACACAAACAAGCAAACAAGCAAGCAACGCAGCAAACAAGCAAAACACAAACAAACAAACAAACAAACAAGACAAACAAACTCGCAAACACAAACAAACAAACAAACAAACAAGCAAAACAAAGAAACTCGCAAACACAAACAAGCCAACAAGCAAGCAAAGCAGCAAACAATCAAAACACAAACACATATACAAACAAGAACAACAAAGAAACTCGCAAACACAAACAAGCAAACAAGCAAGCAAAGCAGCAAAACCCAAAACACACACACAAACAAGCAAACAAAGAAACAAACACACAAGCAAGAAAAAACAACTCGCAAACACAAACAAGCAAACAAGCAAGCAACGCAGCAAACAAGCAAAACACAAACAAACAAACAAACAAACAAACAAGCAAACACAGAAACTCGCAAACACAAACAAACAAACAAACAAAACAAATAAACTCGCAAACACAAACAAACAAACAAGCAAAACAAAGAAACTCGCAAACACAAACAAGCAAACAAGCAAGCAAAGCAGCAAACAAACAAAACACAAACACGTATACAAACAAGAACAGCAAAGAAACTCGCAAACACAAACTGTAACAAGCAAACAAGCAAGCACCGAAGCACACAAACGAAACACAAACAAACAAACAAGCAAACAAAGAAACTCGCAAACACAAACAAGCAAACAAGCAAACAAGCAAACAAACAAACGAAACACAAACAAACAAACAAACAAGCAAACAAAGAAACTCGCAAACACAAATAAGCAAACAAGCAAACAAGCAAAAAAAAAAACGACACACAAACAAACAAAGCAGCAAACAAAGAAACTCGCAAACAAAAACAAGCAAACAAGCAAACAAAGAATCTCGCAAACACAAACAAGCAAACAAGCAAACAAGCAAGCAAACAAACGAAACACAAACAAACAAACAAGCAAACAAAGAAACTCGCAAACACAAATAAGCAAACAAGCAAACAAGCAAACAAACAAACAAAACACAAACAAACAAACAAGCAAACAAAGAAACTCGCAAACACAAATAAGCAAACAAGCATACAAGGAAACTCGCAAACACAAACAAGCAAACAAGCAAACAAGCAAACAAGCAAGCAAGCAAGCAAACAAACAACACACAAACACGTATACAAACAAGAACAACAAAGGAACTCGCAAACACAAGCAAGCAAACAAGCAAACAAGCAAAACACAAACACGTATACAAACAAGAACAACAAAGGAACTCGCAAACACAAGCAAGCAAACAAGCAAACAAGCAAACAAACAAACGAAACACAAACAAACAAACAAGCAAACAAAGAAACTCGCAAACACAAACAAACAAACAAGCAAAACAAAGAAACTCGCAAACACAAACAAGCAAACAAGCAAGCAAAGCAGCAAACAAACAAAACACAAACACGTATACAAACAAGAACAACAAAGAAACTCGCAAACACAAACAAGCAAACAAGCAAGCAACGAAGCACACAAACGAAACACAAACAAACAAACAAACAAACAAAGAAACTTGCAAACACAAACAAGCAAACAAGCAAACAAGAAAGCAAACAAACAAAACACAAACAAACAAACAAGCAAACAAAGAAACTCGCAAACACAAACAAGCAAACAAGCAAGCAAGCAAGCAAGCAAACAAACAAAACACAAACAAACAAACAAGCAAACAAAGAAACTCGCAAACACAAACAAGCAAACAAGCAAACAAGCAAACAAACAAACGAAACACAAACAAACAAACAAGCACACAAAGAAACTCGCAAACACAAATAAGCAAACAAGCAAACAAAGAAACTCGCAAACACAAACAAGCAAACAAGCAAACAAGCAAACAAGCAAGCAAGCAAGCAAACAAACGAAACACAAACAAACAAACAAGCAAACAAAGGAACTCGCAAACACAAACAAGCAAACCAGCAAACAAGCAAGCAAACAAACGGAACACAAACAAACAAACAAACAAACAAACAAACAAGCAAACAAAGAAACTCGCAAACACAAACAAGCAAACAAGCAAACAAGCAAACAAGCAAGCAAAGCAGCAAAAAACAAAACACAACCCCCCGTCCCATCCCGTCCCCCCGGCCCCGGCCCGAGTCCGGGAGTGCAGACTCCCGCCTGGTCGTGCTCCAAGTTGCTGAGCCTGAGTTCTTCATTTTTGGGGCTTGGGCCATATTTTTGGTGTTGGGCTTGGCCCATTTTTCGTGGAACCCTTTTTGGGTTGGAACCAAATTCTTGGGGCTTGGGCCATGCTTTTGGTGTTGGGCAGTCACCATCAAAAAAGTCGGAAAAAGAAAGCTCACTTGCTGAGTGGATGGCCCAACAAAAAGTCCGAACTTTATATTTACCACTCAAATGGTCCAATCCCAAAAAGTGTAAAGTTCATGAACTCAGGAAGGAAGTGGCTTTAACAACCAGACTTGGGTACCAACTCAGAAGCAAAAAGTTCATGAACTCGGGAAGTGAGAAAACGGGGCGCCACTCAAAACAGCCGAGGAGCAAGTCGCAGAGCTTCTCGGAAGGCGCTTTGCACACCTCGTGCGAGGCGCACGGCGCGAGGCGAAATCCGGCGAGGGCTGGCGCGGAGGTGTTTCGTCGTTAAAAAAATGGGTTTCCACGATTTGGGGGAAGAAAACGAGACTCCATGGAGCTGTTTTTTGCGATTTTTGGCAACTTGTTGTGAGATATGGAGTTTGTTTTCTCCGGCTTGTAGCAACTTGTGGTGAGATATGGGCTGGTGAAAAAATGGGATGCCCCCGATTTGAGGGAACCTTATGCAGGCCTCTCCGACACAATGATGGGTGTTGATTTTCAGGAACCGGACCCCGCAAAATGGTGTTGTTCCTTGTGGTTTTCATTGCGGCGTTCCTTTACATTGGTGTGTGCGGGGCTTGTTTTGGCTCTGGTTGTTTTAGCCGACTACTTACTACTGGATATGGAACTGTGTAAACGTGGGGGGATCGAAACGGTGGTTTTCCCTTTTGGCTTTCCTTGTGTGTTTGTCATGTTTTGTTGGACGCCTTTGGTTGGCTTCAAAGGCATTTGGGTCCGGTCCACTAGAAAGACAAAGCCACATGAGAATCAACCCATGTTTGGTGGATTGCCATGTTCTGAAATTTCGGGTTTACAGATCAACTATGCCCTGATGCACAAGCAGTAGCTTTTAGGGTTTGAGTAATATATTTGACCCCTTCATCTTCGGCCATGCGCGCAGCTGCCTGTTGAATTCACCCGCGCGGAACACCTCAAAGTGGCATCCCCCATTGCAGCTACTCGTCCATCCTCTCTATCACTGAGACAAAGAGTACAAGAAGACGAGGAAGCAGGCAGTGTCAGTAGGATCCGACAAGTCCGAGTCCGGGATCGCCAGCTCCGAAAAGCTTCTCAGTGGAGGCAAAGCTCATGGGGTTCTCCCGGCCTTCAATCAAAGAATGGCAGACCCAAGCTAGATGATGACAATCCTGACCGGTAAAACATCAAGGTTTTTTGGTGGATGGACGAAATCCATTTCGCACAACAAAAGAAGCCCTGGAAGGATGATTCCCCTGTAAATACCAAGAAACAATGGTTTCAGCCATGGTTCAAAGTGGTGCGAACGGATTGCGTCCATCCTGCCTGAATTTCAGGCTTAGGGTGCTTCCGCTCAACACCATCCAAGGCCTCGAAGGGCCCAGCCGAAGAAGATGGTTCCAAACCTTCACGAAAAGGATGCCCGGTGCGGAAAAAACTGTTCTTGCCATGAGTCAATGCTTGTGCGTTTCCTTGAATTCTTGATGATGGGATCTTTCACCTTTGGCAATTTCCACGAAAAGGATGATTTTCCCACCAACCAGCAAGAAACATGGTTTTTGTTGGGCAACTAATTCCTGCACTTGCGGGTTCCTTGGCTCGCAGCAATCCAGCCAAAAAACGGGAGCGCTGAATCGAGCCACCTTGAAAAAATGGCCTCCGACCCCCGAGGACTTTCCGTCAAAGGGTGATAGGTATGAATTTGATCTAGGTGAGTTATAATATTTCACCAACCTGAAACTTGCGGCGGTTGGGGGGCTATTCCCCACATAATCCACCATTTCGGGTGAATTCGGTCGTGTGAGGTCGTTTTGATTCACCCAGATTTCATCCCTGCATCTTTAAACACCCTGTGGTGGACATCATTTGAGTCACAACGAAAACCCGGTATTAAAATGATTGACCCAAAACCATGTAAGGAAATACAAAGGCGGCCGCAACTATCTATGGCTGGGATTGTCCCTTACTAACCTTCCTCTACCCGAGTTTTGATTGTGGTTCATTTGGGGATTCATGTCAAATCACTCCTAAAATTCACAGCCATATATATCTCTCTCAGATATCCCGTTTTGTTCTGAGTGGAGAAGCTCTTGTTGGATCCCCTTTGTTAAGCCGAGCATATATATCCATTGACGCCAGGTGGTTAGATTCCCATGTGAGCTTAAGCCATCTTGCCAAACGGATCCGAGCCCTGCGCACTGTTTCTTTGTGAAAAATACATGCCGGAAACCCAAAGGGGCAAAGCGGTTGCCTGGACCCTCAAACTACCCATAAAAAAAGGAACTTCACCAACCATAATTTTGGGGCAATAACAAATTTGCAGAGAATTTGCGGGTCCATTTACTTAGCTTGGACATTTCAAACTTAAGTGCGCATGCCCAAAGGTGGGTATGTGGGTGCTTTGGCCCCTTGGCCAAATAGCCCAAATAGGTTTCACTGGGATTCTCAGGGCTATGAACACCCCAGTTGCTTTCCGTGAGTCCCAAGGATGGCCCAATTGGAGCTTTCACTTTGGCCTCCAAGCCCAAGTGGGGACGAACTTTGAAGAGTTGGAACAGGTGGACATCCTCGAATGTCCAGTTTAGATCTGTCCAATAAGCAGACCGTGAAAAAAAACAACTGAAACGAACTACCCCCCAAACAAAAAACAACAACGGTGGTTTGCCTTAAAGCCCCCAAAAAGTAACTAACCCTCCCCTCAAAAACAAAACTCCAAATCATAACGGTGTCGCCACTTAAACACCCGGACACTTAAATAGGTCAACAAAGGTTTTACACTACCTCCGCCAGCGTTACCGCTAGCCCGGCCGACCAACTTAAATACCAGATTTAGATAAGTATTTTGCGTTACGTCTTGCGGGCCTGCCTCCGCCTTGTCAATTTGGCTGGTGTTTGTTGCCAATTACACCTTCTGCAACCAATCGGTTGTTCTGGGATTTGTTGAAAAACAGGCCCCGTCCCAAGAAATTCACGAATTTACGGCAATGTGTGTGTGCCCCGTCCGAGACAAGGGGCATTCATGTCTTTCTCGCTTTCTTTCTCCGAGCCACGTAGACACAGCTTAGGCAGCTCAATTCTGCGCACTTCGCTCCGCAATTCCAGGCATTTATGTAGCATGGAATTACGAAAGCGTTGGTCTGCAATTAGAAGCATCAGTGTTGCGCCGACATGGCGCCTTAGGTTGGCCTGTGTGGCTTGGCAGGAGCCAGCGCGCGTGCGACGGATTGGGCAGGGTTTTGCGAATACCTGGACCAACCAAGGGCACTTTTTTTGCGACTCTCTGCAAAAATCCGTGCATTTCCTTCAAATCCATACATTTGAGCAAAAACTGTACTTTTCTTGTAGGCTCAACATAAGACACACGAGCATTTTGGTACCTTTTTTCTACAAGAATCTCACTTTCAGCTCCGGCCATGGCACTGGAGATTGTCATGCTCATACCATTTGAAGGTGTGCAATTCACCAAGGACAAAAGGTGCCCATTTCCTCAAGAAAATGTTCCGCTGATTTCCGTGCATTTCCCGCAGATTTCCGTACTTTTCCCGCCGATTTCCGTGCATTTCCCGCCGATTTCCGTGCATTTGCGGTTTCTGCATGTTGGCTGAGAAAACTGCAAACTCGCAAAAGCGGCAAGGAAGCTGTCACACATTGCCCCACAGCAATTGGAGACGAAAGACCTGAAACGGAATTAAGTATGACGGGCCGTGTAAATTGCAAACTGTGCTCATGTGCATCCAAGTGCACCACAAACGCTCACAGCCTGCTAAAAGTGATTTCCGTCAAATTTCCTCAAAAGTGTACATTGACACTTTTTTTCTGCATGTACGGAAATTTCAGTACTTTTGGAGGGTTCAGGTATGAGATGGTCCTTTTGCAGGGGTCTGAAACAGGTCTGACACAGGGCCCAACGCCACATGCATTCTCTCTCTCCCTCTCCCTCCCTCTCTCTCTCTCTCTCTCTCTCTCTCTCTCTCTCTCTCTCTCTCTCTCTCTCTCTCTCTCTCTGTCTCTCTTGCGCCTCTTTCTGGTCTTCCAACTCCTTTCATTCTGTGGGTTTAAAAATAAGCTCCTTCTTGCCTTCTTTCTCCACGAGCCACATAGACAGGGCTTAGGCAGCTCAATTCAGCGCACTTAGCTCCGCAATTCCAGACGTTTATGTAACAGGGAATTACGAAAGCGTTGGTCTGCAATTGGAGGCATCAGTGTTGCACCGACATGGCGCCTTAGGTTGGACCTGTGTGGCTTGGCAGGAGCTAGCGCGTGTGCTGCGGATTCGGGGCGGGGTCTTGCGAATATGAGATGGTCCTTTTGCAGGGGTCTGAAACAGGCCTGAAACAGGTCTGGCACAGGGCCCATGTCAGATCCAAGCATTCTCTCTCTCTCTCTCTCTCTCTCTCTTGCTTCTCTTTCTTGTCTTCCAATTCTTTCATTCTGAGATTTGTTGAAAAACAGGTCCCATCCACAGATACCAGGAGTTTCAAGAATTCAAGGAAATCTGGGAGCCCGTCCAAGACAAGGGGCATTCATTACCTTCTTGCTTTCTGTCTCCACGAGCCACGGCTTAGGCAGCTCAATTCAGCGCACTTAGCTCCGCAATTCCAGGCGTTTATGTAGCATGGAATTACGAAAGCATTGGTCTGCAATTGCAGGCATCGGTGTTGCACCATGTCCCAGTTGGTGTTTCATACTACCTCCACGGCCCGCAAGCCGCTGCACCGCTATGCTGGTGCTGGGGATTCGGGGCAGGATTTTACGAATTTGAGATGTCTGAAACAGGTCTGAAACAGGTCTGACGCGGGCCCAATTCTCTCTCTCTCTCTCTCTCTCTCTCTCTCTCTTGCTTCTCTTTCTTCTCTTCCAATTCTTTTCATTCTGAGATTTGTTGAAAAGCAGCTCCCATCCCATGACGCCAGGAGTTTCAAGAATTCAAGGAAATCTGGGTCCCGTCCGAGACAAGGGGCATTCATGTTCTTCTCCACGAGCCACGTAGACAGGGCTTGGGCAGCTCAATTCAGCGCACTTTGCCCCGCAATTCCAGGCGATTATGTAGCATGGAGTTACGGGCGCCTTAGGTTGGACCTGTGCAATCTGACCTGGCTTGGCAGGAGCTAGCGCAACGCAGCTGCTAGCAAGGGCTTGAATTGTGTTACGCCCTGTTTTTTACGGGGAAGGGGTCTGTCTCGGTGTTGCCATTTAAATATCCTAATTGGTATTTGATACTAGCTCCAGGGCCCGTGAGGGTGGCCCGGCCAGCCACTCTAAATATCCGATTTAAACAGGTGTCTTACACTACCTCCCAGCCCTGAAGCCCAGGCCCGGCCCACATATTTAAAAGTCGTCACCGAACTAGCGCCTCCCAACCGAAAGGGTGGAATGCCGTTGGCTTCCTTAACACCCAACAAAAAGTGACTAAACCCCTCCCAAACCCTTAAAACCCACAAAAAGTCACTAACCCCCCCCCCCCTCAAAAACCAAGTGGTCTGCCGTTGCCTTCCCTTCAACGCCCCTTCCCCGTGGCATTTTCCCCGCTGTCCGGCCCTTGAGCTGTTTCCGGGCTGCCGGGCGGACACCAGGTGGCCGGGGGGCACCCGCCGAAGCATCTGGCCGAGGACGGCGCGGAACACGTCTCCATTGGTTCCCTCCACTCGGCGAAATCTGCGAAGCGCGAAAAGTGAACTTCTGTTTTGGTGGCTTGATACGGACAACCTCGGGAAAACCCGTATTTTTTTTGGTTGGCGAAAAGTTGAGTTCAAGTCCTAACATCCCTTGGCAAAATGCAACAAAGTTTAGTGGTTTGAATCCCATTAAGTTACCTCCCAGCCAAAGAGCGTATAGGGAACTATGCCATGCCGTGTGTGTCAAAAAAAAAGGTTACCTGCCTTTGGTTTGGTCAACAGGATATTTTTTTTTAAAAAAAAAAAAAAAAAAAAAAAAAACTAAAAAAAAAAAAAAAAAAACTAAAAAAAACTAGAGTCTCCATGACCCCTTAAAAATGGGGTCATCACCCCTTATTTTTGGGGAATGACCCAATTTTTCAAGGGTCATGGAGACTCCAGGTAGTCTTGGGGAAGCCCTGTAAGGAGATCCACAAATTCCCCCTGCCCCAAACCAGAGCTGATTTCGACAAAGACCGCGCTGGGGAAATGTCGAAAAATCGCTTCATGTCTGGCGTCCCTTTCGGAATGACCCTTGGCTCCCAAAAGACGATGATTCGTCCGGAAACCATTCCTTTCTGTGGTTTTCAGAGGGGGCAAACAGACTGCTCAGGCTAGCCTCAGTGCTTCAAATACCCGGTCCTTGTCGTAAAGCGACACCAAAGGACACCTCGCTAAATTTGGGCGTGTCTTTTGTTTGGAGACCCCCAAATTCTACTGGTTGATTCCTTTTCCTTTCTTTTCAACCATTGTTCTTTCCAAAACCGGTCGTTTTTGTGGGTTTCCGAGGAGGTTTTCTCGAAAGAAGGATGCCTGGAAAGAATGGGAAGGTGCCCCTAGAAAAATTGTGTTTTCCCTTTGGTGTTCCTTTGAAATGAGCCCCAAAGGCACCCCCGAAAAAGGACACACGACTCTCCGAGTCAAGGAATTCCCCCTTTTTGATGTGAGGATGTTGCCCCAATTTCCCGGTCGCCAGTTTTTTTTTCTTTTCGACCCCTCAATCTCGCCAATTTGGTTGTCGTGGAGCGTTGCGCAAGCCAAGAGGCGAAAAGCTGCAGGCTTTGGACCAGCATCCATTCCCGGGAACCCGCCCGGGCGAAGAATCTCTCGCGGAAGCGCCTCCAGCATGTGCGACGGCCTCGCTCGGAGTTCTGCGCTGCCAGGTGGGTGTTTTGAGTTGCCTCCGACAAGTCCTAGGAGAAGACCCCAAAATCAGCAAGTGGTTGCGAAATCCTCTTCTTGCACCACCGAACTCAGAACCCAACTGTTTCACTGATTCGATTCCCCGACGCAAATACCAAGAAACGGCATGGTTTCGTTGCCATGGTTGCAAAGTTGTGCGAACAGATTTCGCAGCTATCCACCGTATGAAGGCATTTGACCCACCAAGGCCGCAAAGATTGAGGTCTTGGGCTCCTAAGGAAGCTTAGTATACCTCCAAGAGGCAGCCCAAGAACAGGGTTCCGAGAAAACATTTGCTGGGCGCGGTCCCCTAAAACCGGCTTTTTTTGCTTTCTTTTGGTTTTCCGCACGACATCCTCCCAGATGGTCCCGGATTTTTGGACGGGCCTACCAGCCGCTCTGCTGAAACAGAAAGCCAAAGCCACCAGAGGATCGTCTGCAGAATTTCTCTGCATCCGTGATGTTTCACCCCTTGACAAAAGAAGCCGTGATCGACACGCACCCAACTAATCTGCAAACTTTGCTGCAATTCCAAAAGCTGAACTAAGAATCGGATTCCCAGGTAGGGATCTTTATCATGGCTTTCGCTCGTTTTACCCTCAAATCGGCGGAACCGCTCGCGTCATATAGACAGACCAGTTCTTTTAAACTGGGTGACCCTAGAGTTGGATGAAAGATGGTAAACTCAATCCAACCATGTGGGTCTGTCTTTTTCTGAGGCCACCGTCTGAACCTTGCTTTAAAGGGAAGCCAAAGGAAAGCCAGCATTTTTGTGGTACCCTGTTCTGAGACGCACCCATCTTGGTTTAGTCAAACCCTTTACCCGCAATGGAATTGTGCCATCTACTTTCACCCTGGTGCACTTGGGTGCGAAGGGATGCTACACACACATTTGGCGCACATGATCGGAACCGCACGTGGTGAACATTTAAATTGGGTCCCGGGAATCAAGGAGCTCGCAGATATGGGTGTGTCTTAGTTTGAGGGTATGGTCTTTCTTAGATTCTTGTCTTGTCTGTGTTGTGTTCTTTTTTTTGGGGGGAGGTTACGATTAAGGGAAGCCAGAAGAAAAACCACTGTTTTGAAGGTCCCCATATTTGAAGACTCAAACCCATACGTGCACGCAAATGCAGCCAAAAAGGAACACCGGACAACTCCAAGGGCCTTTTTCCCCCCTGTGACATATCTTCACCGGAAGGAACCTCGCATGAATTGCCAAAGGCGAAATCTTCGAAGCCAACCTCAGAAACTGGGAAAGACCAATCTAGCAAAGCCGGATTGAGGGGTTCCTCGCCGATCTTCCAAGGGGAAATCAAGATGGAACCCCCTCGAAACGGGGCGTGGCGGTCTTCCGAAATTTCCCCTGGGCCCAGAAATCACCGTCAAAATTCATTCCAGACATAGGAGTTCGATCAGCAGCCTGATTTTCCTGGTTTAGTTTGGTGTGCATGCACACAATCCTCGAGCATGGAATGTCATCCCCCTTACGCCATCATATACGCAGTAAATGTCATCACTCTGACATCAAAGCGCCACACAGGGGTGTGTGGTTTGCTGCGGGTAGCCTTTTTGGGGGCAGTTGTGGGACATTCAGACACCCGCTCTTGGTTGGGAACGTCTTGTGGGATCGTGATATTTTCAGCCCCAGCCTGTCGCCATTCATGGCAAGAACTGGCCATGGCTCACTATCCCCGGTTTTCCATGTCAAGTCTACAGCCTTTATTTATGCTTTTAAAGAGGGTCACAAAACGGTCGGTGTGTTATTGGCGGGTATCCTTTTTACCTTGGTTTAAAGGGTAGCCAAAAGGGAAACCGCTTTTTTGATGCGTGCGCATCCCCATTTTGGCACACACACACACATCCATTTGGGTGCTCTAAAAAAAGGCCCCGAAGAATGGCTGGTTTCCTCTAAGTGTCCCTTGAACTACCAACCAAGATTGGGATCCACCATTTCTAGGTCCTCCAGTGGAGAGGTTAGCATAAGATTACACATTTTTTTCGGTAGTCTATGTTAGTAGGGGAACCCTCCCAACCAAGCAAGGGGAGAGAAGCACTACTGAGGGACCTAGATTTTGAAAAACAGCTTCATAGTGAAGCGAATCAAACTGCTCGGGCTCGCTGGACTGAGGCGAGCACTCTACGACCTTCATCACGGCGGCCAGTGTAGGGTGAACCTCAACCTGCGGATCGCTCGGTCGAGCGCCCAAAACTTATTGGCGTTTGGTTGTTTTTGAAAGCCCTGTCTATAGCCTTTGTGAAACCAGGTAGCAGAACCACCAATTTAGATGACCAATACGGGTTTCGGGCGCTGCTCAATTGACTGTAGCAAACATGCTTCAAGGGCTGTCTAGGAAAGGACTTTAAAAGGGACGCCCTTGGTGTCACAAAACATGGCCTGAACCCCACTATTCCGCATGAGTCTTACCCTCGCACCAAGAAACCAAGGATTGACTCAAGTAAAGGAAACCCTTCCAAATGGTCTAAGAAGGAAAAACCCTCCTGCCTCAAAATCCATGTTTGTTTGTGGGGAGTCAAACATGTCGGCGTGTATCAGAAGGAAACGGGACCCATCTTGGAACCACTCCAAAGGAAATGCGCACACGCAGAACACCAAGCGAAGGGGTCCAACTGGTGTTGACACATTCCTATGTGCCGAACCCGCAGTATCCATGTTCTTTCGAAGGAGAGTGATACTGTGGATGGACAAGATCCACCTTTGAAACCATGGTTGAAACCATCACGTTTGTTAACCTTCGTAGGAAAATCACAATTCCAGGGTCTGTTAGGTGGTGCGAAATGGTTTTCGCCCATCCACAGTATGTATTCCGCCAACCAGGTGTTGCAACGCAGGCTCTTCCAGCCAAAGCAGGCGATTCGAATCCTCGCTTCCGATTGAGTGGACGGGCCGTCTTCTCAAAAAGTCGAAAGTCCGGAAACTCAGGGAGGCAGAATCTGACAAAGACCAGCCATGGTTTTGACTTCCCCCTATAGGTTTCCCTATGGGGTCTGTGGCAACCGGCCATCCTTTCCGCGCAAGCATCCCTTGGCTGACCGCATTTGGCAAGTGGTTCGTACCCCTATTTAGCAAGTCCCCTAAGTTGGACGTACCTTACAAACAACCGAGCGCAAGAACACATAATCGCTTGTTTTGAGTTCTTGCCGCCTTTTGGCGCTTTTCCGTGCGCTTCTGAACCCCCCACCTGTCTGCAGACCGGTCATACGTCATGCTGGATGTCCCCATCGCGCCTCGTTGAGAAGTGCGGGCAGCACCCTGCAGAGAGTCTCCGGAGGCAGGCCTGGCGCTCCCAAAACGAACGGACCGACTTGGTCTGAACCTCAAAACAAACACAACAGGATCCCCCCTTTTTCAGGGGGGACTTCCATTTGCTTAAGCCCCCTCAAAAAAATGATAAAGAATTTCCAGTAGTGATAGATTCCCTTTAAGCCAAGAGATGAACGAACAAAAAGTGTTAAGCAAATGGAAGGGGAGCAGGGGTGGAATTAGGGTCCGCGACCCAACTCCATCTAGTCTTCCCCAAACAGAAGAAAATGAACCATACATGCAATTCCGGGGGTCATCCCCTCCCCCAATTGTGGTGGGGATGCAACAGGGTAAGCTAAGGCTGGCAATCTCAATTGGTGGTTGATTCTTTTTCGAAGGGTGGTATTAGGAGCTTGTTCCAGCATGTGGATTTGTTTCTATGCTTGGCCTGGGCAGTCCAACCGGGGGAAACACCAGTTCCGAAAATGCGACAGAAACACAACTTGGCTGTCCATTGTCTGATCCCCTGCTAAAAGTTTGATTGTTGGGTTAAATGGCAAACCCCACCAAACCAACAAAAAACAATCATGACGTTGAGCTGACAAATGACCTGACAGCGCCGCATGCAACAATCATCAAAGCGTCCTGACTCAAACCACAAGACTGAAAGGTCTGGAAACAGGACCCCTGCCCAGGTTCTTTTTTGGAAGAGAGCACCTGTGGTTGCTCCCTTCGCCCTAGGCAAAAGGTCGTGATCGATCGCTTGTAGGATAATGGAAAAGCCATTGAAGGCAGCCATTGGTTTCCACAGGGTCAACGGCGCGATTTGGTCACAAGACTAGCCGACCCAAATGCAAATGAGTCTTTGTAACGTTTTCTCCTTCCAAAGGAATACATCTGGGTGTGTCTCAAAAACAAGAACCCCTCCACGTGGTTCTCTTGCCTTTGGCTTCAATTTAGCGTCCAAAAACATGGTCCTTTGAGACAGGTGCTCGTCTTTAAGCGAGACGACCCCGCAAAATGTGTGGGTTGTTCCTTTTGTTTCCCTTGAAAACCACCAACGGGGTACCAACTCCAGAACAAGACAGACCCTTCTGTGCCTGAACAAAAGCAGGAAGATCAAAATGAGCCCCTCAAGAAAGACACCTTCAAACAAAAGGGCACCCATTCCGTCAAAGAAACCAAGCCCTTGTTTGAACGTGTTCCAACCCATGGTTTTAATACATTTCATTTGGTGTCCCTTAAAAGGAACCCAGGGTACGGCCGTCCCTTTGATGACCCTTGAGTACTAGCCCCATAGGGCTCCCCATTTATCGAGAACCCGTTGAACTGGTTTCAGTTTCTCACACGTTTTGAAAAGGACACACATTTGCGCAATAAGGTGTGTGTGTGTGTGAATTTCAATAGGGGACTCTTTGGCTGGCATCATTTATATGGGGACTAATGTCCACCGCCACTTTTGAGTTGGTTCCAACTCGAGAAGAAAAAACGGACCTTCACGCTTAGAGTTCCAGCACATGGGCGTGTCTTTCTTACACCCAAGCTGGACTTCGGTGTTCCTTGTCGCTTTCCTCGCAACATAATCACATTTCGATCACCCCAGAAAAAATGGCCTGTCTTCTTTCAGGTTGGCCCAGAAAGGGCTTCAGTTCCCCTCTGGGTTTCCCGTTAAAGCCCAAAAGAAAGGGGGGTACCCTCAAACAAACAAGGCAAACAAACACCAGTTTCCTTGAATTGGTGGATTGGATGGGTGGTTTGGAGATTTGAACCCTGATTCTTCTAGAGGGTAGATGGGGTTTGCCCCTCCTTCACCACCAAACCACCGATCCAAATCACCAATTGTAAGGAAGCTGACCAAAAAAAGTCCGGAATCTTCGTGGTGTCTCATGCCAGTTGACCCAAAAAAACACTTTAGGGTGCCCCCCCTTTTTTGAGGACAAGAAACATGGCACCCACCTTTTGGCTGAGCAGCGGTGCGCCCCTTTCGGATTTCGGACGCCCCTTTTCGGGCCTTCGAGCAGCGAGGCCCACACAGGGACCAGCGTTTTCTGGCGGAATCCGGCGATCCCGGGATCCCCGACTCCCGAGCGGTGTCCCTTTAAAACACAAAAGCCCGGTTCAGCCCCCATTAAAACAAAATGACCCCTTATTGATTCGACAATCCTTAAGAACACGCCCCCAGGAATTAAACTTGCAACGCAAAATATATATAAAATATCGCCGAATGGTTGGTTGACCCAATTTTGATGAGAATCCTGAAGGGTGAAGAATGGCGGTTATGTTCACCCAACCATGATTTTAAAGGTGGTTTGAACACCAGGGAAAGGATGCCTGAAAAAAGACTCCTGTTCTTCTTTGGGGCACCCCCCCCGCCCCCGTTTAAAACGGATATTGAAGGGACACCAAAAGCACAGCACATTTTTAGGGACGGCTAAAAGCCGTGACGAAGTTAGAGGTAACTCGGGGTTCTTTCCAAAAACCCTTGCCACAAACCGACCCGAAACCAGGGGTAGCTCAGGGCAACTGTGTCATGTGTTTTTTTTTCCCCAGGGATCAAATTCTTTCCTGAAAACGTGCAAACATCTAGAGGAAACTGCACTGAGAGGATGTACGCGGACCTTGCTTTTCCCTTTCCAACAGGGTCACAAAGGATGCCCAAAGGCAACCACTCAGGGAACCTCCATTTGGTTGGTTGTAAAGGGAAGCCAAAATGTAAAAGAAAAACAACACTTTTGGGAGTCCCCTAGACAGGGACACGCCCGGAAGAACCCCATGAGAACGCGGATTTTGAGGTGCCTCGAACTGACATTGGAACAAGCGATGGATTTGTTGGAACTTTGACTGAACATAAACCAGAATCTACGGAAAACCAGCAGATTGAAAGTGAGACTTCCAGGTTGGAAAACAAAAACATCTTTGGGGCATGCGAGACTTTGAGGCTTGGTCATATGAGCTTGCCACATCACCTTTTATTTCTTTCCTTTGAAACGCTGAGCGCAAGCCAAGCGCCGAAGGACAGGTGTCAAACAAAATGAAACAAAAAACACTACCGCAGTACAAACCAGGACCCATAGCAAGGCAAACGAAAGAACGACCATGCCCTGATTCTACGTAAGGTGTGTCTTTTAAAAAAGAGAAAAGAAAAAACACAGACTCAAACAAAATATTGTTTTCTTATGTTTCCGTTTCAAATGGGCCACAAAGGGGCACCCTCAAAAAAGACACACCCCATACAAGGAGCTAAGCGACTACTAGTAGTGGACCCCCCAAGCTTACCACTAAAGTTGAAGTCTTAGATGTTGAGTGGCCACAGGGGAAAAAGGGAACCATCATTTTTTGTTCTTTGGGTATAGGTGAGCACCCCGTAGCTGCTTTGCTCCGGTCGCAGAATGGGGCTTTGCGGCAGAGCATGCCTTACACTGTTCAAGTACCCCACCTGGCGCAGTACATGGTTTCTAGCCTTGCGGCTTCGCTCTTTCCGGCCGAAGGAGCCAGCCACCCTCTCTTGGTTGACGTTGGAAGGGAGCAAAAATTTAAATTTTAGCAGTTAAGTGGGGATTTCCCACTAAACCACAATGAGCAAAAAATTAAAATCCTTCCCAACAACAACCATGCTCTCGTCGAAGAACTCGCCGCCCCCGAAACCGCCCGAAAAACCGGGAAACCGGGAGCCGAGGTGCGTGTGGCGAAAAAAAGGCCCGAAGATCCCCGCAGAACGAGTTGACCTTTGCCAGCTCTGTCCACACTGATCCGCTCAAAGTTTAACATTTACTGGGTTGAATCACAAAGATGGCTTGAAACCACCCAAGCGTTCAAGGAGAACGATGCAACCCCAAAATTGCGAACCCCCCCCCAAAGCAAAAACCACCTCCAACAACGAACAGGTGCTGTGTGTCGCTTCTTGCCGCCAGGACGGCCCGCCAGGACGGCCCGCACAACCGCCGCCGCGCCTGGGGCACGACGATGAGGAAGTGCCGCAAAGGTAGCACCTCGTCAGCTCCACTCTTAAGGCAAACAAAATCTGGCTGGTTCTCAGAAAAAAAAGCTGCCATGCTTAACTTGCGAGTGCGAAAGATGCAGGGAAGCTCCTTGGGCATTTTTTTTTTTTTAAAGAAAAAAAACAAAAACAACAACAACTCTTGGGTCAAAAACTAACTTGCTGCAGAAAATCGCTGGAGCCATGCTTAACTTGCAAAATCAGCTTTGGCTTTTAGATGTTGTTTGAGTTGGGTTAGTGATTGGCGTTCTATCTATCCCATCAGTGAAACTTTACTTGCTGGTTTGATAGGCAGGGAATGAAAAATGGAATGACCCTTATAGACCATCCAACTTGTGGTTTCCATTAAGAAGACCCCTGGGTTCATTTCCACATTCTCTGCTGAGCGCCAGCAAGTCAAACCATGATATGGACCGCTGTCGCCCTTGTTTCTACTTACCTGCCCATTTGGGGCTACCCTATTTTTCACCCACACCCTCTTGGTGGCTTGGTTTGGTCTCACCTCCGATCGAATGGATGCGGCACATCAAGTCCAAGTTACTTGTTGATCACTAAAGTGGTCTTCCCAAAAAGTTTTAAGTCCAGGAACTCAGGAAGTGAGTGTCGTGTTAAGGTGCTTGCTATTAACTCTGAGCGCTTCGCGCGGCACTCCAGCATGGGCAGTTACCCCCCCATTCACAAACACACACACACACAAACACACCCATTTGTATAGCATAGTGACCCTGGTGGAGAAGGGGAACCAATCCTTTTTGAGGGTGAACAATTCAATAAAAGCGTAAAAAATCAGGCTTGCAGCGAGGACTTGCACAAATAAACTTGGGCCGAATCTTGAAAGAAATACACTTGCAAAGTGGGCGCAGAGAACATGAGGCACTCACTATATGTTATGTTTTCGTGTCACCCCACGGGGTGTAACTTTTCTGATTATAGGCTATAGGGCTATGATTTGTGATTGGGGCCATTACTTGTGGTGGACATCATTTAAGGGACGTACCGGGTGTCCCCCGCAAGGCCAAAAGGCTTCGGTTTTCCTTTTGGTTCCCTAAAAACAACAGTTGTACCAACTCAACAACAAACACACCCTGACTTTGTGATTTTGTTCGGGGGTGGGGGCTGACTTGCCTCATTCCATCCCCCAGCCCTCGACCCCAGCCCCCATGGCCCATGATTGGATGCTCGGCCAAGTTAGCAAGTGGTGATCGCCACCTGGGGTATAACCTACTTATGAGTGAGTTGGGCCGGTAAGTAGGTTCTGCCCCAGGTGGCGATCACCACTTACTAAATTGGCGAACCGAGCACCCAAGTAATGTTGACCCAGGATTGATACACCTGATTAGGGGGGTGAACACCCCTCCAAAAGTGGTCTGAATCCCCACTAAAAGGGGACACCCCCCAATCAAAAAGTCAACCAGGGGTTCTACTTAGATCCGGGGTTGACATTACCCCCACGAACCGGTGGAGGAAACTCTCACTTGCCCAAAAGACCTGGAAATAAAAGGTTAACCTTTTGGGACCTTTACTAAAAATGGACCAAAATGGGAAAACCGAAAAGTCCCAAAGGTCGGCTTTGGGCAAGTGAGAACTCTCTGAGTCCGCGTTTCTCCGGCCTTGAGGCGCGAGACGAGGCGCCAGACCGTGACCTCAAGCCGCGAACCCACGCGAACCCGATCGGGTGACTGAACAAACTGCCATGGCGAAGAAATTGTCTTGAGATGGGTGCGAGAAGTAGGGAATCAGGAAATGGACCGTTTTGGGATTCCGAAAGAAAACAAAGGTGCAAGAAGTAGGGAATGAGAAATGGAATGAACCGTTTTGGGGAGTCCCGAAGAACGGAAACCACCAGAAAGGGATAATTGATCTCGGGCTCATTCCAATTCTCAGTCCCGGCTGAGCACCAGCAAGTTAAAGGCAATCCTGTTTGCCATGGGCGTTACAATATAACGGTGATTCTTCAGTCAGAGCCTGGGGTTCATAGGTGTTCTTTTTGTTTGGATTGAACATAGATGGCGATTCATGTCTCGACCTGGTTTCACAAACAAGGAAAGCCATCTATGTTGAACCAACAGCACAAACCTTATCCATCTATTACCAAACGGACAAGCCTATGCTTCCCGGTTATCCAACGGTTCTCCCGAGCCTCATCCCTGACCCGTCTGGACAACAACCCGTGGCCGTTGTTCCGGGCGAAGCCTAAAACTTCTACCCTTCCGCAACGCATGTCCCAAGACTTCTCTCCCTCCCCACAGGCAAGAATCATTTCCTGGGAGGAAGCAGTGCCCCGAACGCGCCCCTTCTCCCCTCTCTGTCCCCTCGCGTTGCCGCCCTGCTGGGGTTTCTTATTACTAAGCGCTTGCCCACGGAGCACCTGGCTCCTTAGAGAGACAGCAGCTGTGGGTCGCAAAGTCGACCTTGATCTCAAGCAAACTCAGAGAAGCCAGCTCTGCCGCGGCCGCATCTTGAAAGTCCGGCCAGGAGACGTTGGCTACCGCGAAAGTGGTCCAGTGGCTGGGCTGGGCCAGAGTTCACCGAGCATGCCGGAGTCTCTCCTGAGCGGGTCATGGGAAACAAATGAAACCTGAGCTCTCAGGGTTCCGCCACGTGCCCCGAAAAGGCGACACTAAAAGCAGCCCTTGGGAGGAGCGGCAAAAACAAGAAACCCACTTACCAAACATGGACAACTTGATGGCAACTAGTTAGTTGCTTGCCTCCTCTGGCCAACGCCACGACTGCATTGTGTGTGTGACTAACCCAAGCACACCGAACTGTGATGGCTGTTGGGCCCGACAAAACCGATCTGTACGCTCCTGCCCTTTTGGGGGACCAAAACATATGAGCAATTCAAATGACTTAGCACCCAGTGAACTTTGATTGCTTAAGTGAGAAAAGGAAGGGAAGCAAACGCAAGCAGGTTTCCAAAGTGCGTCAACATGGGAATGCCCTCTTGGCCCCAAGTGAGCACCATGGGCAGCTCGGGACTTCCCGCAGGCCCCAAGAAACCCAAGAACCTCGAAGAAACCTTCCAAAAAAAACCCAAGAACCCCCATGAGAACCTAAGAACCCCACTAACCCCAAGACCAAAAACCAAAAAACGAGAAAACGTGTTGCCGAAGCCAACGCTCGCTCGCTCGCCACAGATATCTGCCTGAGGCCCAGGCAGATTGCGAGAAGCCTGTGGCGCTCGCGAGACCGGGATAGTCCTGGCGAGGAATGTTTTGCGTTCCTTGTGTAAAGCCCGCAAGCAAAAAAAACACCCAACTCTCACTTGCTGAGTGGCCCAAGAAAGTTCAAACTTTATCCGCCGACCCCTGTCTCCAAAGGGGAGGCGCATGGGAAGGGTTTTGTACTCGTCCTTGTCTTCGATATGCGTTTCAAGTGTGCCGTTAGACTCGACTTGGAATGCAGGTGCTGGGGATGCATAGTCATCATTATCATCAGGATGTCGTCACGGTAACTGCTGGTGATGCTGGGGATGTGTAGTGATGATCATCAGGATCATCATCATCATCATCATCATAACCCAACTTGACATGCAAAGTGAGGATTTCATGACTGCTGGCGATGCTGCGGATGCATATTGATAATCATCAGCATCACGGATGTTGAGTGCTGATTCGTGGCGCTCTTCTTCTTCATATACGTTTCAAGTGTCCCGCTGGACCCGACTATAAATGCAGAGGATGCGTAGTGATGATTGTCATGATAACTGCTGGTGATGCTGGGGATGCGTAGTGACATCATCATCATCATCATCATCATCATCATCATCATCATCATCATCATCATCATGACCCTCATCATGACTGCTGGCGATGCTGCGGACGCATAGTGATGATCATCAGTCAATGCGTAGTCATTAGGGAATTTCCACAAAGGCCTACATAGTTAGAACGGGGCTCCCCTCGCCCCTCTCCAAATGCTTCACCACAGTCCGAAGCTTCAGCCTAGTTCAGTTTCCATTTGCTTAACTCCATATGCTTCCAGTCGTGCTAGCTTCCCAACAACCAACAGGGGAAACTAACACATATTCGTAAGCCCATGAAATTAAGGATCTAAGTTGAGGGATGCTAGGAGGGTTGCTCGGGTGTCGGCATCCCATGACCTTTCATCAAGCATTTGGGTATCTTTACACATGAGACCCTAGATGAAATACCCATTTCCCCCAGAAGAACATGGGACAATTCAGTGTATCCCCTGATTTGTAGCAAAAGTCTCTTGCTCCAATGAGGACCCACCAGTGTAGCCCAAATGTGTCCGGCCTTTGGCGGCGCAGTCTTCCATTAACTGGTGCGACAAATTTCATCTGTGCGTGATGGTTGTTCAAAGAACCTTGCTTTTCGTCGTATTTTAGAGGAACCCCAAATGGACACCGTTTGGGGATCAGGCGGTGTCCTTCTTGCCTCCAAAATCCCTGCTCCAGACAAGCGAAACAAACATGGCCATCTTCCATGCATGATTTCCAACTTGCATCCACACAAGGAAAAACATAGGAATGGCCCTTGGCGCTAACATCCCCTCCATACACAAAGCGGGGACCCTACGCATCGACGAAACGCTGAGGAGTCCTTCAGCAAGCAGAGAATGGACCATGCATCAAAGGTGACAGTAGTCTTGTCCTCGGGGAAAGATGTCAAAGACCCGACACACAAACACACACAGACACACACCCACATAGCCGCACGTGCATGCATGCACCACGCAGGCAGCAAAATTAATAGCCACATACGGGGTAGAGCGCGGTAGATGTCAACATCAAGCAACTGTCTCAAGACAAGCAAGCAAGCACGCAAGCATGCAAGCACCCAAGCAAAAGGAACACCATCAAGCAAGCAATCAAGCAAGCACTCACGCACACAAACACGCAGGCAAACACTCATGCCTGCAGCCAAGACAAACTCTAGCAAGAATGCATGCAATCAAGCAAGACAAGTAGAAATATAAGGCAAACAACCAAACAGGCAACGAAACAGCACACAGCCAAGCATCCCAACAACGCAACACACACACACACACGCACACACGATAACATACACGACACAAAACCACACAGCGCAACTCAACACAACTCAACACAAACAACACAACTCCACACAACACAGCACACCACAACACACCAAGCTCTACCAAACCACACCGCACCGCCATGCACACAATGCAGCACCTAACACCACACACACACACGCGCATACAGGATGTAAGCGTGCTCTCACTTCCTCATTTGCTGTGTGGACTTGCCCCAACAAAAGCCAATCTTCTGCTTCGTACAACCAAGCGGCCATGGGAACGAACAAAAAGGCGACTTGCTTTCTTGGTGGTTGACTTGAAAGAGAACCCCCCTCATTGTTTTCTAGAATTAGGACCCCAGCAAAAAAAAGTTTTTTGTTGCTTGGTAGTGGAAAACAAAGGGAGCCCCACAAAAGCAACAAACTAAAAAAGGGAACTAATTCTGGGGAAGAAAAAGGGACAAAAGGAAGCAGCCCACTGGAGATCTGAAGGTGTGCGCAATTGAAAGGTCATATATAGACATCGCGCATCCAGGCCCGAAGTCCGAACGGTCTGTCCAGTCACCCCATGTTCAAACCTCAAGCACAGGAAATCCGCAAGCAAGCCCAAAGATGTGGCTCAGCTGAGGTTCTCACGCATGGTGAAACCATAGGTGTCCGGAAAAAGTCGTCGCAATCTCCCTCGACATTCCCTCCGAACAAAAACACATTGCCATAACTAAGGTGCGACTCATGAATTTGCGTCCAGCATTTCAGGAAATTAAACGGCGGAATTCCGCAACTATTTCTGGCTGGCACTGGCCCTTGCTAACCTTCATTTACCCGGGTTTTGACCAAGTGGCTCATGTCACATGGGACGTGCATTGATCAATTGCACGACATCAAGTAACGGATGTCCCACAAAAAGGCGGAGCTCGGTTTTGCTGTCCAAACTAGTGGAACGGTTGGTGACATTTCCCTTCCAAGTAAGGGTTTTGAAGGCCCGCAAGACTGAGGACCCGGCCTGTCTTGAATTAGCGGCATCTGTTCGCCAGCCTAGGCCAAGGCCGCGCCACAACTTGAACTTCCCCACAGGCAGAACTTTGACTAAGGCAACATGTCAAATGTCATCACCTCTTGGTTGCTTTCTGCTCCCCTGCTAATTTTAACTTTTAGTCACCTTGTTCGGTTGTCCTTGTTGACAACCCTTGGTTCTTCAAAACTGCAGGATCTCACTTGGGGCCACAAGTAGATCAGAATGGGGAAGCCAAAATGTCAGACATCTTGCAGCTCTTCCCCCCCCGCAAAGACCCCAGCCTTAACCAAACAAGGCCAAACAAGAAGGCCAAATAAGAAGGCCAAACAAGGCCGTCTGGGTTTTCGAGAGGGGGAAAACATGTCATGTCTGCTCGGTTCGTGCCAGATCCAGTATTGAATCGGCACGCTCCGGGACGTGCGCTTGCTTGCAAACTCGTAAACACCCGGCACCGTATCACAGAAAGTGCATACTCTTAGCCAATGTGGATAACCCTAGTTGGTGGCTCCCTCAGCGGGATGTCAGCTTAGCGCCTACAACCCACTCAAGTTTTGACTCACTCACATTCACCCCAAGCAGCTCACAACTGCTCCAAGAAGTCCTTGGCCCCGTCTCGGGCTTTCCCAGGCAGGCCACAATTTTTTCCCCACCTTACTGTAACCCCTACGCAGTGGATCTGTTTACCTGGTTTGTGGTTACCTACGGTGGTACCTAGGACCTGGGATGCACTGGGTCACCTTTAGGCACTCATTTCAACCGTTGCGTTCGCCTCTGTTTTAAAACAAAAGGAGGGGTAAAAAGTTTGTTGTTCAGTTCCGGAAGTTCATTTCTACCCTGGGCCCCCGTGGAAAAACCCGGTTCCCTTCACGAAGTATTTGGGTGCATTTTGTGAGGAACCCCTTATTGGGTTCTTTTTGAAGGGGGACCAAAGAAAAACCGATTGGAGACAAGCCCATTTGAACTTGTTTGGGGCAGCACCTGATGACTCCGGGAAACACACCACCTGAACAATGATCACAACGCGCCGGAGGTGGTACCCGGTAACACAATTCAGGGTAGGTGAGGGTGACCAGGTCAAGGTTGTGGTTGGTAATGAGTTTGAGATTGAAAGTTGAAGAAAAACAGGTTGGGAAAGCACATGATTGAGCCAGCAACCAAGCCCAAGAACACCGCGACGGAATAGCAAGTACCTCCTTCAGCGCCTGTCCTATTTCCCGCGAATGCCTCGTCCACAGGTTGTTAGCTTGAGCCAATGTTGAAATATGCAAACATTGCTGAAGATTAAATGGTCTACACCAAAACACACACCCCTCATCTGGAGTGAAGATGCATTTTGGAGAGCTTTTGAATTCACGGAGTGAGAATAACTAACCAATGCTGATGGGAGCCTCACCTGCGCCCGGCTGAAAATCCCGTCGTCACCCCGAATTATGGGGCAGGGTGTCGGTCAACCAAGGAGCACATGAAACATCACGAGCATATATAGGAGATCACCAATGTCCGATCCTTCTCACACTCTTTGTACGGACCTCTTCTATACTCCCTCTTCCCGGGATCAAGGCTTGGCCCGCGGTGTCCGCTATCGTGTGATCATTGCAATAGAAGTCCTTGCAGGTCTGACATTGCTCAATCACAATGTTCCTACCATCATGACGGCCGCCCCTCCGACGGCAAGCGCGACACGACGGCCTCTCAGCGGCGCATATATTGCATACGCAAACTTCCTCAGCGAAGCAGTCCTCGCAGACCTTCCTGCAACATTTCCCGCACTCATGATCGGCCCTCGTATGTGGAGGTTGATCGGCACGCTCAAGTTGACATCTCGCGGGCGGGGGTGGGGCCAGCGCGCTGTGATAAAAGCATTTGTCCGCGAACTCGCCGAAGCCTCAACACCGTTTGCTCGGCCCCCTTGAAGACGCGTCGTCGAGGAGGTGCAGAGCCCGACTGCGTTCCTCCGGAAGGCTGTTCCTGAAGCTGTGCACTAGGAGCCCATCCGAGCGGGCGTACCGTGAAGAGAGTCGATAGAAGTAATATTCTCCTTGCTGATCCCCGATCCCTGCACAAAGGCTAGCCTGAAACTCGTTCCTTTGCTAAACGACTCGGGAAAATTGCTCTCCTAAAGCTTGTTTTTTGTGTCTCTTTGTTTTATGCTTCCCAATAATTTAAGCCCTCGTCAGTTTTCTTGAGTTTGTTCGAAAATCCGTTGAAAACAGGCCTGGGAATAACACACAGAAAAAACGGGAGCTTTACAGATCCCATCTTTTTAATTACGTTTTTAAGAGCGTACTAATAGCAGCCTATTAGTCAGCTATTATGTCTCCTATTCACCTCCTCATGGTGTCAAATGTGCTGAATTTGCTCTTTAAAACCAGCGGTGTGTACTGAGATCTCCTCCACTGTGGGAAGGTGTTGTACGAATACCTCGGGATTTCCGAAGGCAAAGCGTTCATCAGCAAGAGTCTGATCCATCTTCAACACAGAGCCTGCTCAGTACGCTCATTCTATTGGGCAACATCGCGAGCTTTGACAATGTCGACGTTGATAGATTCCAGCTTCTCGGCCCTTCGGCCAAGTTCAGCAGCCGGCAAACCGCGGGATGGTCTCTTCCACCATAGCTTGCGATAATGGTCGGGATCGTGTCGAGATCAGCTCCTCCATCAATAGCGGGGTTGGTTATGAAACGGAATGTGAAGAGGACTGATCAGATTCATTGGCTCTGTGCTCGCCTCCCTCGGTTAATCTTAATTGGTAAAATATGATCTTCGTGATGAGGTTGAGGAAGAGTTGAACCACTTGATTTGAGGAGCCGGCTCGCCCTCAACAAGATGGGGTACTTCCCCAATCTCGGGCACGAAGTCTTCAAGGGCAAGGAGGTCGACCGAGCCTGCGTTCGCAGTGGCGTTCTGGCCACTCAGCAAGTGATTGATGAGCTCGTCAGGATTCAAACAGTCGGAAACCTCATGAATACTGCGTTGCTCGACGTCCAGCGTGTCTCTTGTTGGGCAAGCCCGTGAAATTGACCTGAAGCTCGGCTCGTCCATTCCTTGGACAACAATAGGCTCAGGAGAAGTGTCGGCAATGCCCCTCAGAATTTGCGTGAGGCCGTCAGTATGTAGAAGTCCGCCATCAAAGCCGGGAGGATGATTGGGATCTTCGGGCCATGTGATGGACCAGTGATCCCCTGAGTCTCTCTGCTTGCTGTTGGGGCCTTGCCATCCTGGGAGTGGGAGGTACTTCTCCCTCATCAACTTAGAAGGGGATCGTGGCAGATGCTGCTGCGCTGGTCCTGAGTGGGTTGCTTGCTTGCCTCGTCATGATGAAGATCACCGTCACGAATGGCCATATCTCGGCCTCCTTGGTCAAGTAGCTCAAGCCAGCTGTCATCCACTGATCCTGGATGCTCCTCGAATTGAGGAAGCATCGACAAGGAGTGCCCGCCGATACTTTCGGCGTCGGGCATCCGGCCTGCAGAACCGGAACTATTTGCTGCGCGGCTGATAACCTGTTGTTTGGGGCAGAACGGCCGGGAAACAGACCACCTGAACAATGATCACAAAGTGCAGGTGGTGATACCCGGTACCCAGTAACAAAGGGTAGCTGAGGGTGACCAGGTCAAAGGTTGTGGTTGGGAATGAGTTTGTAGATTGAAAGTTGAAGGAAAACAGGTTAGGAAAGCACATGATTGAGCCAGCAGCCAAGTCCAAGAACACCGCGACGGAATAGCAAGTACCTCCTTGCGTCGGGAAGCGGACACACCAGGAACCAACTCCTTGATGGGGCCCACCTCCCGCCACGCAATGGCGCCTTGTCGAGAGGATGTTAGCTTGAGCCAATGTTGCAATATGCAAACATTGCTGAAGATTAATGGTCCACACCAAAACGCAGAACCAAAGGGCGAGCCAGATTGAGATCCCCGCAAAGGATGTTCGGCCAGGTTTGTAAGTGGTCAGCCACCTGGGGTATAACCTACTTATGAGTCAGTTAGGCTGGTTGCAACTGGGTTACAACACAGGTTACTGACCATTTCCTAACTTGGCCGAGCACCCAAGTAAGGGAGGTTCTGAAGTTGGCGCAAGCGCTATTTGAGCATCCCTGTCTCACTTGGGTTTGTCTCAAAATAGGGGACACGTGCCCAAAGGACCTAGAAATCCAAGGAGACACTTCTTGGGATTTACTGCACCAAAAGTGGGGAACCCAAAAAGGGAACACCAATAGGTGTTAAAAGAGAGAGCAGTTCAAATCCTTTCGGGTGCCAAACAAGATGCGCAATCCCCCGCCCAGCGATGACAGGAAAGGCAACAAAAACACTTCTTGGCGGTAGAAAAAGATTTCGTCGGGAAGCCTCCACACAAGAAGGGTATTTCGTCGGGTGCCACTGGACGCCTCCTAGCCTCACCAGTTTGCCATCAAACTCCCAGAGTCTTGGTGACGTTGGAAGGGGAGCAAAAATTCTTAAAAATTTTAGCAGCTAAGTGGTTGGATTTCCCACTACACCACAAAAAGCAAGAAGGTAAAATGTTTCCCAACAACAACCATGGAGTGGTAGGTTAGAGGGAGCCACCTACAGCTCAGCTTCCCTGTTGGTTTGGAGCCCGGTCTGGTGGGAAACCCCTACAACCCGGGATTCAAATCCAAGCCTCCAATCCAAACCACCAACCATGGGTTGCCTCACCCCCCCAAAAAAAAGAACGAACGGAGAAGCAAGCCGCCGGTCTGGTGGCACCAATTAGTTGCTGACCGATTGGGGTTACCTGATCAGTTGCTGTCTTTGACAGCCGTCAAACGCTGTCGGCACAATGACCCCCAGTTCAATCAGGCGGCGAGCGATGGGAAGACAACATGCCATCACGTGCCATCGCGTGCATCGAATTTCAGTGGTCTCATGAAGCCTGCGTGGAGGTGAAAATCAATTTATGTCCAAAACATTTGTGAGGGGGCTACCCGAAAGAAAAAGAAGTCATGGCCATAAAAACCTGGCATATCTAACAGGGATCCTTACATTATACACCTGAACATTGCCTTGTACATGGAGGTGTCCCTTTATTTTGGTGGACAAAGCCATGTTTCAATTGGGCAAAATGTATTTTTTAAGGAGCCCTGAGTAACATGGCACACTTGCAGGGGCTTGCGAGTTCGATCACACACATCTCACACGGCCCCTTGCATGAACTAGACGCAAAAGGCCATTTGGGGGACGATGTCTAAAAAAAGGTCTGGCTTTGAACAAATGAGCATTGGTTGGTCAAACTGTGGCCCAGTTTCCCATGTTACCCTCAAACATATGGGGCATGGTTTGCTATCGGCCCATACGTAGTGAACTTGGACATGAATAATGTCATTTGAGAAGCCAAGCTGCGATCCGACAACTGAGATCAACCTTGCTTGTGTTTCCGGCTGAGCCGCTGACAACTCACTCGATCGGATGTTCGCGCGCCGACTTTCGCGCCATCCAAACCCAAACTCGGAATGGCCAGTTTGGTGACCCCTGCAAAGTACCACACAAACCCAAATGAGCCACAATCAAAACCCGGTATGAAAATGGTGCACCCAGAACCATGTAAAGAACTAAGAAGGCGGCCGCAGCTATCTATGGTTGGGATCGTCCCTTACTAACCTTCATCTACCCAGGTTTTGATTAAAGCTCAAATGGATGTCGTTCTCTTCAAGGGTATCCTGTTGCAGCAGGACACCAGGGGTACTGACTCAAGTGCGTATAGTTTATTCCACACGAGGATGCTCATGGGCACTTCCAGGACGTTTCTTAGGGACACACCATGACCCTGCGCAAAATAAAGCGCTGTTTGTGCCGCTGACTAAATGGATAGGCTTTTCCTTTTCTCAAGCACCCACTGACCTTGATCAGTATGTGAGCCAAGTAAGTGTCATTTACTTTCTTGGCCACGACTTAGACCCTGTGTAAAAAGGGACCATGAAGGGGCAAAGGGCAAAATTGTCAGATCAATGACCGGTGGATCGGTCTCAAAGACGACCTGGAAGTGATAGGTATTGCTTGAGCTTTGGAGTGATACTCTTTGCTTTTTCTTTTTTTCGGGTCTGTGTCAAAGAGGGTGCCAACAAATAAGTAGCTTAGTCTTGGCTTCCTTTCAGACCAAAAGAGAGTTCCCCAAAAAATAAGATACCCCCAGATACAAGGACAAGAAAACGATCTTTCAAACAAATCCATTCCAACAAAAAGCAAAGTAGAACAAACACAAATTCTTGTGCGGCTGCCAATCCCGCACGTTTCGGAGTAAAATCCATCGGTAGTGTCATTGTTCTGAGGTTCAAACAAAGTTGACAAAAGCCGTACATCATCGTATAGATTCATTGTGGCCAAAGCCGTATGGACAGAGAAAAGAACGGCACATAATGTTGACCCTGGATTGATGAACCCGTTCATTCATATGGGCCGTGTTCCCCTCCAAAAGTGATGAACTCTTTGACCAGAAACACCCTATGGACACCCAATCAAATATCTGGAGTTGATTAGTCTGGGGTCAACATATAAGTCACAATCAAACCAGGTACTAAAATTGTCTACCCAGAACCATGCTTCAAGAGTGGAGAAGGCAAATTTCCGCAGCAATTTATGGCAAGGGGATTGTCCCTTACCTCCATCTACCCGGGTTTTGAGCAAGTGGCTCAATGGGTCCCAGGTTGCCCCAAGGTTCGGAATCCAACCCTGCAATGGAAGCTAAGCATCTGCTTTTCGAGCCCAAGTCTCTCCGAGCCAGCACGCCCATTTAGCAAAAGCACGCCCTCGGGGCCTGTCACAAAGAGGACCTCACGTACCCTCGACTCAGTTGGAACTTCGGGTGCTCTAAATCCACTGAAGTCGCATGATTGTACCACTTTGAAACCAAGATCGAGCCATTGTTTGCTGGTATTTAGAGGGGAATCATCATTGCAGGTTTCTTAGGCGGTGCGAAATGGTTTTCGTTTATCCACAGTATTGCCAATCTGTCAACCCCGGTTCTCGAGGATGGTACGTGAACTTAAGCCCCGCGGACGCGCATTCGAGGCGAGCGGCAGAAGCGTGGAAAAGGGTTCCAACGTGCAAGCGACCGGCGCAAGGCGGTGCCGCTTGAAAATGCCACAGACTCGCTGGAGCTTCATCACTACTTGGATGCTCGAATCGCGTCAGTAAGTGGTGATCGCCACCTGCGGTATAACCGACTTATGAGTGAGTTGGGCCGGTTGTAAGTAGGTTATACACCAGGTGGCTAATCACTTACCAACTTGGCCGAGCACCAAGTACCCTTGTCATTCTGGCTTGGTGGATCTGCCACCTTACATTGCCTTTAACCAAGGATTCAAACCTTTGAAACCATAGTCATGCTAGCAAGGGGCAAATATTTCAGATGCAACCAAATGGGTGTATGTACAAATTGGGGGGGGGGACCTGGAAAATGGATGGTGTCCCTCTGACTTTCCCTCAAAGCAAGGCTAACAGCAGCATCTCGATCCAGTGGGGTTTCCGCAAGCATTCAGGCCGCCTCTTGCCGGATCGCAGACCATGCTCTGAGACGTGTTCATCAGGACGGTCAATCTGAGGGGGCCGTGGCTTTTTGACCCGCAACCAATTCAGTTGTAACAAGAGAAGTGGGAAGTGGGGTCCAGAAAACATGACCCTGCCAGTCGTAGAAGCTGAGGATCAGAGGCTTTGGAAGACTAATGAATTTCCATTTGGCTTGCTGATGCACAGCAGGGAATCAGGGAATGACCCCTACAAACCATCCAACTGGTAATTTCCTTTTAGGGGACCCCCAGGTTCATTCCCTCATTCCCTACCTGTCGCACCAGCAAGTTTGGGAAGCCGATCGTCCACGTCCATGGACAAAGGGCACTGTGCTAGGAGTCCAACAAACAGTTGGGCCCCCTCAACAAATCGTTCAAAGAGCGCCTCCTTCTTTGTGTGAAGCGCTCCTGTCTCTTTCGCTTGCCCTTCGCTCTCCAGTGGCCACAGGGAGAAAGGGGGTCCTCTGTCCTTGGTAGTTGACTGTAGAGGAACATCATTTCAATGGAAAGCTTGGCCCACATCGGGTACACACGAAGTCATGTGTGGATGGACAAAATCCTGCATCAGTTGGTAGGTGGTTTATCCCATTATTTACGGGGCGTCATCTATCCCGGGATGTGCAGGATTTTGTCCATCCACAGTATGTCACATTCAGTTTATCACAGTCTAACCCAAAGTCTAACTTGGAGGAGATACTGGGAACAAAGGCACCACTGGAGGTCGGGGAACCTGTTGGCGCTCGAAATCGAAATCGAAATCGCCGATTTCTGTACAGAACTTCCCAGTTTCGCATTGGCTGTCAGCAGGAAACGCCCTCTGACTCTGGCTCGGGCTCCTGAGCAGTCAGGTCAGTGGCTGGAGCCAAAGGATTTATCCCTCTGATCTCGACCGGCAATCTGGTTTTCGGTTCCCAGGTCCCATTGCCAGTAAAATTCAGGTTGAACAACAGGTGTGTTGAAGAAAACACAAGGTCCGCCATCGACAAACTCTGGATTACTAGGGAGTGTTTCAGGTGATATGGCAGATACTGATGTGGCATATACTGACAATGGATGGGAATCGGTGTTGCGCGCTGCCCAGAGATTTAGCTGAATTGTAAGCCGTCGGTTAGGCACAGCGGTTCCCAGCTACCACTTTCCTCTTGATTTTAAAAAAAAGCGGTTCCCGCGCTCGGTTGTCCACCTCCGCAAGGTAAATGGACTCCCTTGAACCTCAAAGCGCGCCAATCACAAACTTCCCCTACGGAAAGTTGCAAAGGTGCTTAAGCCCAACGGGAAAACACGGTTTTAAGATGGCGGCGAAATCCTCTTTCGCACCACCGTTCGGAAACCCTCATGGAAATCTAACTGACAATCCGGAGACTACCTGTTGAATAGGGGTCTCAGAAAAAAGAACAGATTTCAAACTCCTAGTTTGTGAGGTAAAACTCCTAGAAATTATTTGTCACTCCTGGAAACTCATGGGCACACCTGAAACCAATAGAAATCGCAATTTTCGGCACTTGACTGAAGTCCTCCAATTCCGAGATATTCAGAACCAGAATCGTTTATATTCAGAATTCAGACTGATTCTGAATTCAAAACTATTCGGAATTTGCGCCTTTGGGTGACAAATTGGCATAACGTAAACCACCACACCTGAAACTCAGCGCAAAAAAAAGGCAAAAAGCAAGCAACAAATCTGCAAATCACAAAGAAAAAAAACAGAGTTTCCGGAGAGTGCGTGTTGATTAAAAACTGTGGAATACCAACTCGAGTGCACAGAATTGCATATTTGCTCGGATAGTGTGCCGAATTGTATAATTGCGGGCCCAAACACCAAAAACAAACAACAAGACGTGCTTCGATTAGTTTCCCCAAGAACCACTCCTAGTTTGTGGCTTTCACTCCTGCCTTTTGCAAGGCGCTCCCGCTTTTTGATTCATGCATTTGCAACACCTGCAACTCCAAGTTTTCAGCGGCTTCTGGCAATAACCCGGAGGACGGGAAAAAAAAGATAAATAACCTGGAAAACCTAGAGATATCTGGTTTCAACCCTGGTTTCAACGTGGTGCGGCGAACGGATTTCGTCCATCCACTGACCCCTGAACCAAAACTTGGCTTCACCAGAGGGCCCCCTTCAAAGGGTCCATACGTTTTTTAGGCCGTCGAACCGACGGCTAAGTGGAAAAGGCAGAAAAGCATACCCTCTACTCCAAGAACCTTTAAACATAAAGGATGCAAACGAAAAACCTGGTTTTAAGTCTGTTGCTTACCGAAAACAGGGTTTTCCAACCGAAAACCCGGTTTTACTTTAAAAAACCATACAAAAGCCATACAAAACCCGTACAAAACCCATACAAAACCCGTACGTGTGTATGCTTTTCATAAAA